GCAAAACAAGGCAGTTGCTGAGTTTAAAAAGCTGATTTTATGAGCTTTTTTAGATGAATCCCTGCTGTCGTTAAGTGAATCACATGGTTGTTCAGTGAATCCTGCTTTCCTCATTGACTTTGCCTGTCAAAAAGCCAGCTGGGAAGGTTTGCAAATTATAATCATGTGACACACACACACACCTCAGGATGCGGCAACTATCCTAAACGCATGCTGGTTGCCAAGTTTTTAAATTATGATCATGTGATCAGGAATGCTGCAATGGTATTAAGCAAGAGGACCAATCATAACCGGGGATGCTGCAACAGTGTTAAGCAAGAGGACCAGTCACAAATTGCTTTTTTCAGTGCTGTCGCAACTTTGAACGGTTGCTAAACGAATGCTTGTAAGCCAAGGATTAGTTATAACTCCTTTATTACTGTTATAGTTGGATGTGGGGAAATGACCATTGTCATGTTCCTTCAGATTACCTTCTGGTGTTTCTTTCTTACTGATAATATTTCTTGGCTGATAGTAAGGTGACCAACTTTTTTACAATGAAAAGGAGGACACAAATAAATTGAAGAAAAAAATATCGTAAATAAAAGAAACATTTTATTCATTGCAACAATAATACAGAATACACAATAATATGATAAATGCATAATAAAAACCATTTGTAACAATAACATTTTATATTTTAATTATGCTTACATGCTGTGCCCCTGCCCGCAGCCGCCCCACCAGCACTGTGGCCCTGCCATGTAGAGCAGGCCCTGTGGCTCCCAGAGCATCAGCTGTGCCGGCTCTGGTCCCGGGGGGCAGCCCGCCGTCAACACACCCCGCCTGCAGTCACCCCGCCCACCCTGCACAGCCCTGTGTAGAGCAGGCCCCACAGCTCCCACAGTAGAGCAGGCCACATGGCTCCCACAGCACGGGTGGCAGCCTGCCACCGCTGCTCCTCACACACCACGTCCGCAGCAGCCCCGCTGCCTATGCCTCTTGTGCCCACAGCCATTATTGCCCTAGCAGTGCCAAAGATCAAGAGAAAGTTACCGTGGCGTCACTGCTCCAGTCTCCTCCAGGTATCTTCAGGACTAACTAGGAGATGGTGTAGTTGGAAAGCAGGGAGGGGTGTAAGTTCCTGCCAATTTGCCTTTGCTGCAGACAACTTACATGTGCAAAGTTTGCCGGCCGGGTGTTTTGGCGCGCTCAGTAGCAATTCCTATTGGCTTTCGAAAGCCAATAGGGGGAGTAGCACAGCTCATGCAAAAGTTGAAAAAAAAAAACATCAAAAAAGGTGCCGGAATGCCGTTCTGAGCGTTCTATGAGAAAAAAAAGCCGTGCAGATTAGTCTTCAAATATCAAAAAGGAGGACATGTAGGAGGACACTTTTCGAGGGAGGACAGAACTTAAAAAAGGAGGACTGTCCTCCCTAAAGAAGGACGGTTGATCACCTTACTGATAGACAGAATACTAATAATTACACATCCGTAATAATACTCCCCACATGCGCTGGATGTCATATTCATAGAAAAGGCCAGTGTGTTTGGAGGGTGTCATTTTGGGGCAGAACACATCCCCAAAAGAAGATAATGACGAACCACGAGATGGTGGTGAACCACTTCCATACTGTTGCCCAGGAAATTACAGAGTCATGCCCGTGATCATTCACAGTTGACCTTCGCTCTAAATCTTTATGCTTTTAGTAACATTTCTCATCTTTCAGACGGAAGCTTTATGAGATCCAATTGCCCGTATTAAAGAATGTGGGTCAATAAAAGCTTTTACACAAAATCCTTGGCCGGCCTAGCTTGTGGTAGCAAAAATACCATCGTAGAATTTTCCAAAGCCACATTCTGCCTTTTTCGGGGTCACCCAGGTCTGCTTTGCCATTTGCTACCACACTGGGAGATAGGAACTAGTTCTTCTCTGCATATTCACCCTGGAGTTTTATTCTTCACCTTAGGTAAACAAGGAACGGTATGTTCTCTGAACTTTAAGGTATAACACGTGACTGTCCCTCAGGAAACTGTTTTAATCCAGTTTGGTATTCCTAAACCTATAATTTAACTTAGGTAGGCTTTTTTCCTTTACCGCACCTAAACCCCCTTCTATTATCTCATAATAGATCTGATTTCCCAATGGGTTGGGGGGGGGAAACCCTCCAGGTCTTTTTTGTGAATAAAAAATGTGGTTGTTTTGCATTTATTTTTAAATACCTTTGCATACTTGGGACAAAATAGGCTTCCAGCCTATTTTCCTTAGGCTGTCATATTCAAAATGTTACAGACAACATGTGGCAGGAATAAACAATTGGACCTCTCCAGAGGCTTCACAGGTATGTCCGTGCTTCAGACCACAGAAGCCATAGCAAAAGATTTTAGAGTATTTGGAGAATAAGGTTTTCCTCTGATAAATTGCAATAAAACAGGGCTTTATTTGGAATTTATAAGGACGTCAATTTGTAGATGATCAAAAAGTTAATTTTCAGTACCAGAAATGTATATCTGCATATACCAGTACGTTGTTTTATTTTGTTTTTATTTATTTGAATTTATTAACCACCCAGTTCCAATAGATTCTGATCTGCATACCTACAGTACTCAACTTACAGCAGGTCATTCAGTGACCGTTTGAGGTTACAACATTACTTAAAAAGTGACTTATGACCATTTTTCACACTTATGACTGTTGCAGCATCCTCACGATCGATCACGTGATCAAAATTCAGATGTTTGGCAACTGACTCATATTTATGACCTTTGCAGTGTTGTGGAATCATATGATCTCCTTTTACGATCTTCTGAAAAGCAAAGTCAATGAGGAAGCAAGATTCACTTAACAACTGCAGTGATTCATTTAGCAATTGTGGCAAGAAAAGTCATAAAATGGGGCAAAACTCACAACGAATGTCTCAGCTAACAATTTTGGGCTCAATTGTGGTCGTAAATAGAGGACTCTCTGTAGTGGATTATTGATAAATTTGGTTTGTCACTATTTGAATTAGATTTTCAGTAAGGAAGGAAAAAAGAAAGGAATTTTGAACAATATCTTGGGAATTGTTTTATGTTGTAATTTCCCCAGTCTTTTTTCTTTAATATTGCATCAGTTCTTGATCCAGTTATATGGATTTATGTTTTCATATTAGTTTGAGAGAAACTTTGGTGACCTTTTCTATATAGGAAGTCCTCGACTTACAACCATACAATCATTAAGTGGCTGCTCAAATTACAACAGCACAGAAAAAAAGTTAACGTGCAACCAGTTCTTCCACTGAAAATTGTTGCATCATTGCCACAGGCATATAATTGCCATTTATGACTTTCCCAGCCGGTTTCCAACAAGCAAAGTCAATGGGAGGAACCCAGATGTACTTAGCAACCATGCGATTCACTTAATGACCACAGCAAAAAGGTCTCACTTAACAACCCGCCTCATTTAGTAGCTGAAGTTCTGGTTCCAATTGTGGTAGTAAGAACGTTTGAGGACTACTTGTTACTCGCTTCATCCTGACTGGGGGCCCCTTGGAGATAAAGCGGTAAAAATAATGTCTACAGCAGAGGCCCCCAACCTTTTAGGCACCAGGGACCGGGTCTGTAGGGAGAGATTTTTCCGCGGACCAGAGGGGGTGTGGTTTTGTGTGCTGCCTGCATCCCATGGATGAAGTTTTGCTTGTTTGTGTGGCCCGGTTTCTGGCATGCCGTGGCCCGGTGCCGGTCCACGGACCAGGAGTTGGGGAGCTCTGGCTAGAGTGCTGATGTTTTGGTGAGAAGCAGCACCTCTACTTCTTCTGCCTGGAGTCAGCTTCAAGAGCTTCTGTATGGCTGCTCTAACTAGATAGTGCAACGTTTTGCCAGTAAAGTCACTCAGATCCATTTCAGTCTTGATTCCACATGGGCGGGATCTAGGGTGTGAGTAAGACCCTATCTTGCCATGTTATCTGGGATTCATTTTGGCTTATGACTTCTGAGAAAGCGGGTGGAGTGCCCTCTAGGATGACCTTTGCCCCCTGCATCCTTATTTCATCCGATTCCTCTGAGCTGTTGGAGGGGGTGATTGCCTCAGACTTGCACACCGGTAGTCCTTGACTTACAACCACAACTGAGCCCAACATCTCTGTTGCTACGTGACACAGTTGTTAAGTGAGTTTTGCCCCATTTTACGACCTTTCTAGCCACAGTTGTTAAGTGAATCACTGCAGTTGTTAAGCGAATCTGGCTTCTCCCGTTGACTTTCGCAAAAGGGGATCACATGACCCTGGGACACTGCCACTGTCATAAATATGAGTCAGTTGCCAAGTGTCTGAATTTTGATCATGTGGCTGTGGGGAGTGGGATCAATTGGGAATGGGAACGGTCGTACGTGTGAAAAATGGTCATAAGTCACATTTTCCAGTTCCGTTGATTCTTGGAATGGTCACTAAACAGACTGTTGTAAGTTGAGGATTACCTGTATGGAATTGGAATGGCATTGGTATGTTGTTGGATGAGACTTGAATGGAGAAAGTTCTCTCATCTTGATCTTTTTACAATTCTTAATGGTTTTCAGTGCCACCAACTATGGCAGGGGTTCTCAACCTTGGCAACTTTAAGACTTGTGGACTTCAACTCCCAGAATTCTGGGAGTTGAAGGCCACAAGTCTTAAAGTTGCCAAGGTTGAGAACCCCTGAACTATGGTATCTTCTTGGCCTTCCTGCAGGACCTGGGAATTGGTGGCACTGTTTCAGGTTGATTCTGGACTGACCAGACTCTTCCATGGATCCATAACTCAGTTTGGGTTCTGTTGAAGGCGTCCTCAAGAATCTCTAACTTTGATATTCTTTTGTGGTAGGGATACCCACTGAGGAAAATATGGAGGCTGCGGAGCTGCTCAGCCTTCCGTTTAGCCCCTCATCTTCACATCATCTGGAACCATAGTTTGGAAAAGGTCAGGCGCTGCCTTCTGTAGCCATCGGTGCCTGTTGCTTGTCAAGTCTTGTGTTGATCAATGACGAAAGGAATTCTGTCTCCACCCATAGGTGTTGCTGTTCCTTGAAAGGAAAGGGGCTGAGCTAAGAGAAGTCCTTATTAATCCCAAGATCCTGCCAGAACCATGCCATAACACTCGAGGTCTCTCCAAGCAAATCGTCCAGAAGAGGGAGTTGCCGATAGAGGTGTCAGCAGGTAAGACTTCTGGGATGACTTCGTGTTTATTTTGGGTCTCCGTTTTAATTCCCGGAATATATTGTTTTCACCACTGGAGACATCTGATAGATGCAGATCTTTCATGTAACAGCATGTCAGTGAGACAGTTGTTAGTGTGGGTAGTGCTTCCAAGAAATTATAGGCTTTGTCCTGGATGGTTACTCTGTATTCCCAGCATGCTTGGTGTGAATTGTTTATATCAGAATGAGCCCTGGTGTTAAGCACAAAGACTTCCAACTTCATATAGCTTCTTCAACTGAAGAAACTTCGTGGATGAAAAGTGAAGGGTCTTCAAGGAAAAACAACAAAAGTCCAGTTGCCTTTTGAAAAAGCACCTTTGGGACAAAGCATGGTAGTGACATTATATGTTGCATTCAAGAAGTTATATGTTTGGTTTCTGGTTTCTGTCACCATCAAGCAAAGCTGGGAAATTTGCACCAAATCCCAGAAAAAAGAATCAGTAGGTGGCAAAATAATAATAATAATAATAATAATAATAATAATAATAATAATAATAATAATAATAATAATCCATCCTGCGACGATACCTGTAATACCATCAAACATCTACATCTGCCTATCCCAGGTCCTGGGTAAGGACTCGATAGGTAGACAAAATGCCAAATCCAGTCTGAACATCTGGCTGACTGTGCGATGATTGATAATAATAATAGTAATAAAGTTGGAAGGGACCTTGGAGGTCATCTAGTCCAACCCCCTGCTCAGGCAGAAAACCCTATACCATTTCAGACAAATGGCTGTCCAGTCTCTTCTTAAAAACTTCCAGTGTTGAAAGACCAGCTAGTTATCTGTCTCCGTATTAAACATGTTGTAATTGTTTGGGAAAGCTAGCAGTATTTGTTCAGGGAACATTTTCTGATTGGCTTTGATCCATATGGATCCCTGAATCTTACAAGACTGAATGTGCTTCTTCTTTCCTCCCTTTATCTTTGTGTTGAACAAAGGACGGGCTTGTCAGAGATGTTTCCTCAGATTACTTTCTTGGTTAGTTCAAATCCCTCTTATCTCATTGTGGCCTTGATAGCCGCTCTTCATTCCCTCTGTCCTACAGCTATACTTAACGGAACTGATCAATGAGACCCCCCCCCCTAATAAAAGGTTCTGGTATAGGAGAGGAGGGTCCCACAGTTTGGCAGGTCCAAATCTTCCCTCATCCTCTTCAACTGTAGATTATGGCGGTCATAATCCAGTATATTTAGAAGTCACAAAACAAGAAAGACTGAGTTAGAGTTGAGATACTCACTTGGTACATTTTGGGCATCTATGTAAAGGCAGTCTTCAGCTTACAACAGTTCATTTAGTGACCATTCAAAATTACAACAGCATTGGAAAAAGTGGCTTATGACCACTTTTCACACTTTTCACAATCCCCATTGTCAAGTGATTAAAATTCAGGCAGTTGGCAACTGACTCACATTTATGACCCTTGCAGTGTCCTGGGGTCATTGGATCCCCCTTTGCGACCTTCTGACAAGCAGAGTCAATGGGGGAAGCCAGATTCACTTAACGACCATGGTTCTAATTTAGCAACTTCAGTGATTCACTTAACAACTGTGGCAAGGATGGTCGTGAAATTTGGCAGAACTCACTTAACAAATGTTTCCCTTAGCAACAGAAATGTTGTGCTCAATTGTGGTTGTTAGTTGATGACTGCCTGCCCTCTCTCTATTTCTCTCTGTCTAACCCATTTTGTAGGATTGCTGTGAAGATCGGTTGAAAATCTAGTTTTAAGAGCCTTAAAATCCATGGGGAATTTTTCTGGGGAGGAACAAGGTAGTGAGAAAAGATAGGCAAAGCTTGGTTGAATTTTCAGGTTATTGAATCTGGATGATCTGACAGAGATTTATTACCTGATATTTCTTCCAAAGTCAGCCCATGGAGACTTGCTTAACTATGGTTTATTGAATAAGTATCGGTTGGCTCAGTCCACATATTGTGTCAAGTCATGTTTCACCCTGCATTGTATTAAATCAGTGGTTCTCAACCTGTGGGTCGGGACCCCATTTGGGGTCGAACGACCATTTCACAGGGGTCGCCAAACAAGGCTGTCCACCATTTTTTTCCCCTTTTCTTTGGCCACGTCCCTGGCACCTGGTGATTTTTAAGTGGTTGGGGGTCACCACAACATGGGGAACTGTATTATGGGGTCGCGGCATTAGAAAGGTTGAGAACCACTGTATTAAATAAAACCACAATGTTGTGCTTAGCCATAAACCTTGATTTATGAACTTTATTGCACAAGCCCAATATACTGGCCCAAAGCCAAGCAAACCTTAATGCAGCATAGCATATGTGAACCTGGTCTATCTAAATAGATCTGCAACATGTGTACATACAAAATTGTAGAAAGCTGATCTAGGGAAATACTGGCTAGTTAATAAGCTTATACAGAGGGTCGGTCTTCTGTGTCCTAGTAACCTGCAATCTCCTATATTTCCAAGAGGGCAGAAATATCTTAGACCAGTGGTTCTTAACCTTTTTGAATGAATCGTCCCCTTGAGCCAATGAGGAAGTTGTCATCGCCCCCCTCCCCCAACATAACCTCTCAATCACAACATGGGAAATAATTCTTCAATTTATGCAAACACTTTTTTTGTTTTCTTTAAAATTGTTCATCAGGACATATCGATGCAAATAATTTATTTCCAGTCTTTTCTCCATATCTCCCATATTCTGGCTAATGGCGCGCCACCGTACGGGTAGAGGCTGCTGCACAACACGCATGAAGATAAGCGATGCGTATTCACATATGTACGGCGTTCTATACTGAAGCTAGCTGGAGGAACATTTGGAAACACAATTCAATCCACTAATAGCGAGCGATCTGAGGTTTTTGTACGAGATATACAGCCATTCACTGTACGAAAAAGTCTCAAAAGTGTCCCCCAAACTTCTTGCTCCATCGCCCCCATATCGCACCCTTTTTGTTCCTTTGCCCCATTGCCTCTTTTTGTTCCATCGCCCCCCTGAAAAATGAAATCGCCCCCTGGGGGGCAATATCACCCAGGTTAAGAACCACTGGCTTAGACCAATAACTGTAGCTTTCTTTTGGGGCACATTGACATAGGTGGATCTGACTGGGTACTTAACTTTTACAATGTTTTACAAGCATCCATTTAGTTATTTTTTTAAAATAACTTTATTAATTTTTTTCAAGGTTAAAATACCAAAAGAATTATCAAGAAAGGAAATAGTAAAGAGGATATAGTAGAGAGAAAAATAGGAAATAGAGATGTAGTAAAATAAAAAAAGTAGAAAAATACACAAGAAAGAATGACTTCTGATTCCTTTTACAGCAGATAGAAATGAAACTTAAGTTCATTACTCTAAAATTACAGATTTTTTTTTCTTTTTATGACCCTGTAGTCCCCTTGTATTGGGATGCTGGATGCCCTTCCTGATGTCCATGTGGAGTTAGCAGCAGATATTTTCTCTTTGGGCCCTGATAGAGAAACATTTCTCTCTGCCTAGGATTGAACTCTCAACCTTCTGAGTGTGAGGCGAGTGTCTGCACCTCTAGGCCCCCCGCACCATCTAAAATCACAAATTAATATCCATTTTAAGCAGTTTCTGAGTATTGCTAGCCATCAAATCTATATGCTATAACAGTGATGGCGAATCGTTTAGAGACCGAGTGCCCAAACTGCAACCCAAAACCCACTTATGGATCGTCAAGTGCTGGGTGGGCGTGGCCCATTGGGTGGGCATGGCCCATTGGGTGGGCGTGGCTGCAGTGGTAATGGCAAACTGGGTGGGACTAAAAAGTTCAATCAGTCAATTCCAACTTTGCAAGATCTTTTTTTTTCCCACGAGAAGTTGAATTTTTTTTTTTCCTGCGAGGTTGAAATTGACTAATTGAACCCTTGATTGATTGATTAAACCTTTTTTTTTTTTTTTTGCACACAGCGGCGGAGGTCTAAAGCGAAAAAGTTTTATAAAACCCAGCTGAAGGCCTAGGACTGGGGCGACGGCGCGCATGCCCACAGAGAGGGCTCTGAGTGCCGCCTCTGGCACCCGTGCCATAGGTTCGCCACCACTGTGCTATAATTTCATTTTTTTTCCTGTTTCCCACAAAAAGTCCAAAACAGGCTTCCAACTGGTAATAAATTTAATCAGCATCTTTTTCTCTAAACATCCATTTCTTTGTTCTTTGTTGTATTGCAAGCTCTGGATTTTAGTTTTCAAACAGAAGAGCCTTAAATTTGAACGTGTTTGTTTATGGATTCAGATGAATGGGATGCATTCAGGTCTTGGATTATGCTTCTGAGTTGGAAAACATATTTCCTCTGGATGAGGCAAGCTGTGCTTTTCAGGGCTGATTTGCAAGGGACAGTGCCTGCTTGTGTGAAAGTAGGTCAGTGGAATTCCTGCTGGGTGAGGAATAATAGCGGATCAGGGTTCATTTTCACATCCGTCCTGCATTTAGGGACACCGAATAGACTAAGGCAAATCATCTCGTATCATTCCTTGATGCCTCTGTTTGAAAGAACAAATAGCATAGTCTGGGTTGAGTTGCCGTGAGAGAGATCAAAGAAATACGGAAAGATAACATTGTTTTCGAGATATACGGTGCATTGTTACATTCACAGGGGCAATGGGAATATGTTTTTATGTTTTATATTTCTGATTTTACATTGATAATGGGCATACCTTCCCAATTACCTGTGCCTAATAGGTTACCGATCCTTCATTCTCTTCTCTTTTTTTTTTTTTTTTCCTTCCCGGTCAAAGGCAAAAAGATGATGTGATTTATTTATTTATTAAATTTATTGGCCATCCATCTGACCACGGAGTAACTACGGGTGGCTTACAATATTAAAAAGATAAATAAAATACCACCAAAACGCAAAATACAACACGCAGCTGTAGCTAAAGTCCAGTGTTTCTCAACCTTGACCATTTTAAGGCATGTGGACTTCAACTCCCAGAATTCCACAGCCAGCAATGCTGGCTGTAGAATTCTGGGAGTTGAAGTCCACATGCCTTAAAATTGTCAAGGTTGAGAAACACTGAGCTAAATGATGGGGAAGGAAGTAGTAGAATGAGAGGGGGAGGAGGTAGGATCTGATCTTAATTTATCAACCACTTCCTATCTGATGCTTTCCCATTGGAGCCCCAAGCCAGCTGGCAGAACCAGGTCTTCAAAGTCTTACGGAAGTCTTTAAGGTCTTATGGAAGGTCAGAAGGATTGGATCAGCGAGAATTAATAGAACTCCTACTTTGGCCTGTACCAACGTGAACTTTGTAAAATGTGAAACACAGTGCCCACGATGTCAGGGAGATAAAGATAAGATAACCTTTATTGTCATTTTTTTTTACTGTGGGCACAATGGCACACATCAAAAATGAAATTTAGTTGCCCGCTCTCAGAGTGAAACATACATGACGCACACCTAAACATACGATGTAAAAAAGATGTTGAGACTCTAGAAAGAGTACAGAGAAGAGCAACCAAGATGATTAGGGGACTGGAGGCTAAAACATATAAGGAACGGTTGCTAGAATTGGGTATGTCTAGTTTAACGAAGAGAAGGACAAGGGGGGACATGATAGCAGTATTCCAATATCTCAGGGGCTGCCATAAAGAATAGGGAATCAAGCTATTTTCCAAAGCACCTGAAGGCAGGACAAGAAGCAACGGGTGGAAACTAATCAAGGAGAGAAGCAACCTAGAACTAAGGAGAAACTTCCTGACAGTGAGAACAATTAATCAGTGGAACAACCTGCCTCCAGAAACAGTAAATGCTCCAAAACCGGAAGTTTTTAAGAAGAGACTGGACAGCCATTTGTCCGAAATGGTGTAGGGTTTCCTGCCTGAGCAGGGGGTTGGACTAGATGACCTCCAAGGTCCCTTCCAACTTTACTACTACTACTACTACTATTATTATTATTATTATTATTATACTATGAACCACATATGTATAGACCCACATCCCTACATATACGTAGCAAATAAATGTTAAATACTGTCCATCTTGAATATATAACGGAAGGAGGAAGCTTGAGAGTTCACAAGGTTAATACTGTATGGAATGAAACTATGGCTGAATCTGGATGTTCTGCTACGGAGATCACGAAGTTCCTTGTCCTTGAGAAGCTTAATGCAAAGAGATTGTCAACCGTCCCATTGGGGTGGACAGCAAAAAAAACCTCCTGGGACGTATTTTTACCAAGAGTATAACTTTACTGAGGATTCCATATGGGTACAGAAATAGAAAAGCCAGTTCTAACTCTTTCGCGTGCAAACAGCCTAGGACAGTGATGGCGAACCTTTTAGAGACCGAGTGCCCAAACTGCAACCCAAATCCCACCTATGTATCGCCGGGTGCCGGGTGGGCGTGGCTATGGTGGGCGTGGTAGACTGGGTGGGCTTGGCCATGGTGGGCGTGGCCAACTCAGTGTTGCTCTGGTGGGTGGGGCAGTGGGCAGGAGGGCATCTTTCTCAGCGGGTGGGGGGCATGGGGGGAGGTCCCTGAGCCCCGCAGCTCTTCCGAGGGGGACAAGGAGGGGCTGTGCTGGAATTGGGGCTCCTCGTGCCTTCCGCTGCCCACCTGCGCTCTTCTGCTGAAGATTCCGCAGCTCCGCTTGCCTGGCAGGGTGGGGGCACGCTTGCGCGTGGGGTCGCACATAGGGCTGCTACTTTCCGTGCCTGCTTCTGCCAAAAGTTGCTCTCTTTATAGCCTCTTGCCTATTCCCAGACTCCGCTTGTGCGGAGAGCTGCATATGTTCAGCTTTGCAGAAAGCTGCGCATGCGCAGAGAGGAGAAGGGAGCAGCTCGGCCCAGCAATGGCTCGCGTGCCACCAGAGACGCCTCTGTGTGCCGCCTGTGACACGTATGCCATAAGTTCGCCACCACGGGCCTAGGAAAACGTTCCCTCCCCTCCCCCCGATCTCCCATTGTCCATTGTCCACCAATCATTTGCGCTTGCTTTGTTTTGGGAACAATTTTTCTGCCTCAGAGGTTCCCAGCCGGTGACCTTGGGGTGTTGGGTCCATCTCAGGCTTCCAGTCGGCACACTTGCATTCCAAATTTCCCTCCCAAACCTCCATTACATTTCAGTGCCTTCCCTCCCCCCCCCCTCTGGTTGTGAGCAAGGCTGCCTCGCAAGTCCACCATGACAGAGATTTTTTATTTCAGATAACGGAGAGGTAAATTAGGTAATTCGCCAACTGTCTAAAACGGTACATCCCACATTCACAATTTTTTTTTCAATCAGAGTAAGAATTAAGCCAGAGGCCCCTGACTACATGAACTCTTAAAATGAACATTAGGCTTCTATATTTTATTTATATTTCACACTTCTTAAGTGTCCATTTTTCTCCGTAACATTTCAAGCTGCTGCCGCCCCCCTATTGCTGTTATGGGGATGCATTGGGAATAATTTTTCTCTGTAGCCTCTGACTGGATCTAGTGCATTTTCAAAACTCGGTCTCTCTCTCTCTCTCTCTCTCTCTTTTAGTAGCTTTTCCTATTGATCTGAATTTGGTCCCATTCTGTAGCATTTTCAGAGTTATCCTGCTGATAGTCAGGCAGAGAACTTTATCATAATTTATTTCACACGTTCTTGGGAATTGGAAAGAGTAAAAAAGATGGAATGAACGTGAGAGGATGAAGTTCTGAGCCAGAGCAAAGGAAACAAGATATTTCACCTTCCTCTATAGGTGAATACAGGTAGTCCTCAACTTACAACCAAAACTGAGTCCCAAATTTCAATTGTTAAGTGGCTTTTGCCCCTTTTTATGAATTTTCTTGCCACCGTTGTTAAGTGAATCACTGCAGGGAACATGGCTGTTAAGTGGATCTGGCTTCCCCATAGACTTTGCTTGTCAGAGGGTCGCAAAAGGAGATCACCTGACCCCGCTGCAACCGTCATAAATATGAGTCAATTTTGATCACATGACCATGGGGATGCTACAATAGTCATAAGTGTGAAAAATGGTCATAGGTCCTTTTCTCAGTGACACTGTAACTTCAAATGGTCACTAAATGAATGGTTGTAAGTCAAGGACCGCCTGTAATGTTTGAGGCTACTCTAGAGGCTCATCTAAATGCTCACCACCCCAAAAGAGCACCTAGTATTCATAACTTAAAAACAAAAATTAAAAAAATAAATAGAATTTTCATGTGATTTTGCTGTTCTTGCCTAACATCTCTCAAGATCTTGCAAGATTAGCAACATCTTAGGGCAGGGGTAAGGTAACCTTGGCTCTTTTATGACTCGTGGACTTCAACTCCCAGAATTCCTGAGCCAGCCATGCTGAGGGGAAAGGGAGAAGTTTCCAAGCTGAGCCATGCTGGCTCAGGAATTCTGGGAGTTGAAGTCCACGAGTCATAAAAGAGCCAAGGTTGCCTATCCCTGTCTTAGGGGGGGGGGGGTCCTGGGTTGGTGAACTCTGCAGCATGCCCACAGGACGTCTTACACTGTTGTTGTTGGGGAGAATATTTTAGAGTGCTCAAAGATATGGAATTGTGGAAAGGACAATCTCTGAAAGGTCTATAGTCCTTTAAAAAAAAACAACACCCGAGAAACTGATTCACTGCAAGGTATCTTTATTCCAAGATAACCTTTGGCTCCCTTGACCTTTTGAGGAAATAAAATGAGGAGTGGGTTATAAGCTTGGATTCAAAATGCATCCTGTTGCCCAGAAAAAGCAACAAAATTAAGTAAGAGGGGGGGAAAGCATGCCAGGAACAAGTGAAAGTGAATGGGAAGGAATTTCAACAATTGCCTTCGGAGTAAATAACAGGGGTTTGTGCGTGGGGATGTGTGTACAGCCAGATTCCCCCATTTTGTGATTGTTCTTGACATGGCCATAGACTCTGTTTCCCGCCTCTATGCTGGGCAGTCACTCCATTATAATACACTGTTGAGCAGAGAAAGGATTTGCCGGCTTAAATGGGCAGTGAGAAATTTCTTAGGGTTGGGCTGGGGGTCAATTTAACCCTTCTCTCTCCTCCAGCTGATGGGACCATGCCACACCACCGAGGCTATCTCCGGTTACTGGCTGCTTTCTGCCTCACCTTCCTCTTCCTCACGTTCGCCGCCTCTTATAAGCCTGTCATCGTTGTCCATGGCCTGTTTGACAGCCCTTCTGACTTCCAGATCTTGCTTAATTTCATCAATGAGGTGAGTGGGAGAGGCCACATTGGTCAGACTGATGGAGGATGATGGGAAGTATAGACACTGACTTCATAAATAATTATTTGTATCCTCTACTCCTCCACTTCCCCTTCCCTCCCTCCCCCTCCCTCCAACTCCTTCTCCTTCCCTCCCCTCTGCTCTCCTCTCCCCTCCTTTTTTTCTCCTCCGCCTCTTTCTTCTCCTTTCCTCCTCCTCCTCTGCTTTGATAATCTGGGAGGGAGAATGCTGTAGTCATCTTGATCTGATGAGAATCTGGATTACGGTGTAATTTATTTTTCTGGGCCTCGGGTGACTCATTCTGGGCAGGCTGTAGACAGAATATACATACTCCTGTGTGGTGTGCGATAAACAGGCTGATATTGCACAGGGATTGAGCTGGAAAGTCTGGTTTTTCTGGGCAGGGGAAGATGAGGGCTGAAACTCTGAAGCTGCCAAATGCTTGTTTTATTCCCATTCAAATCTCAATTCGTGACCGTTCTAATCTAATAATCTCTTGTTTTGGAGAGTCACCCATTCTTTCATCCAAACCAAGCAACATACCACAAAATACAATTTTAAATCTGGTAAACCCAAGCCTCCTTTTTCTTTAGCATCTTGCAACAATTGATACTTATTCTCTGTTTTTTTCTCTCTCTTGCCATATGAACTTAGAAATGTCCTTTTGCCATTGTTTAAGTTATGCACTACATCAGTCATCAGTACTGATAATTTATGAAATAGAAACCACATCTTTTGGTAAAGCATTCATCTTGATTATGGAAATCCTGCTGCAGTAAAGATAATTGTAATTTATCCTAAACTGTCCCACTCTTTTTTCAAGTTAGTCAGCATGCTTCTTCCTTTACTCCTTTTTTTCCCTTTGTGACACCCTATAAAGTAGTTTAGATTGAGAACTATAGTGACACCTTAATACTCATTGTTAATTGGTTCCAGGAGGTGCAATGAGTGCCAAAAACTATGAGTACCAAACAGATTTTTGTCATAAGGAATAATTTAGTGAATCACAAGACAGCTGACACTGACAAGTTCTAGCTTATGTGTTGAGTACCAAACAAACAATGAGTACTGGAACAAAATTTTCACATCAAAATGTGAAATTTAATGAATTTCAAAGCAATTGAGTACCAAGGAACCATTGTATATCTCAGTAGGACTATGAACTAAACTCTCATTAATCCAAGTCTGGCATTATCTAACCACTACTTCATGCTGCCTCCATACAGGAAAGAGAAAGGAAAAAAAAATCACCACCAGGAGGTATTTTTTCCCTTATCTTGGTGTGTCATCAAAGGAACTTTCTTCAAATGTCAAGGCAAAACAAGTTTAGGATTGCTGCTTTCTGCACAAAGTGACCACAGTGGGTAGCTGTGGTTGTGTTGTGACTAGACTTTGAGCAACCCTTCTTGGTTTGGGTAAGAATATTTAGGAGAAACTGGATCATCAAATCTTCCCTGAAGGAGATAAGGAACAAGTAACAGATGTAGCTTTACGTTTGTGATATTTGTATCTAGAAGGAAGAGACAGAGATTGGAATAGTGCAGGGCTTATGTTTCCTCTTTGTAAATATTTTACACTTCCTCATCCTCTCTCGCTGTTGAAAGTTGTGTGTTGTTACTTTATTGATAGAAAAAGGAGTCTATGTAATTTGGTAGTTCATGTGTAAGATTTTTTTTTATGGCATTGTTACATTTATGCTTCAATATTGATGCTTCAGTCTAAATGTTCAGTTTAGGTTCAGCTTCAGCCTAGATCAGTGGTTCTCAACCTTTTTAATGCCGCGACCCCCAACCGGTCGTAAGTCGAGGACTACTCAACCGGTTGTAAGTCGAGGACTACTCAACTGGTGCAGCACCGTTTGCAGAATGGGACTTTTGGCGGGCTCAGCAGGGCAGAGACCGCCTGGACAATTCCTATTGGCTTTTGAAAGCCAATAGAATTAGACTCTATTCAAGAGAGTCTATTCTATTGGCTTTCAAAAGCCAATAGAATAAAAGGGAGTAGCACAGCTAAGGAAAAGGGGGGAAAAAATGGTGGACTGTGTTGTTTGGCGACCCCTGTGAAATGGTCGTTCGACCCTAAATGGGGTCCCGACCCACAGATTGAGAACCACTGGCCTAGATTCTCCCAATGTCTAAAGAATGTAATAAAGTATTGAAAATATCTTGTGCTTTTTATCCCTGTCAAATTTCTATAGACTCATCCGGGAACCAACGTTTCAGTTGTAGATTTGTTTGACCGAACTGAAAGCCTGAAATCTCTATGGATGCAAGTGGAGGGGTTCAGACAAGTGATTTACCCTATTATGCAGAATGCTGTTGATGGGGTCCACCTTTACTGCTACTCACAAGGTAATGGGGCTCTTGGTATGGCCAAAGGCAGATCTGGCTCCATATTGGAAGGAATAGAGGCTAATTGAATCATAATTGACTTATGACCTGGAATTGTGCTTGTTAGCCATTGTGGCCGAAAGTCAAGGCACCATGTAACTGGATTTTGATTTTACAACCATTTTTACATTGTTATAAAGTGAATCCAGTGTTGCCAATGGTGGTTTTTTTTGCCAAAAATAGGCAAAAACATCACAAATTGCAGTCACATGACTTTGAAAAGCTGCAACCAATCATCAATGTGGGTTAGTTTCCAAACACCTGAAATGCAATCATGTGACCACAGGAAAGGAGTGCAGCAGTCATAACTTCAAGGGCAGGTTGTAAGTAAGAGTTTTAAAAGTTGTAATTTTGAACAGTCATTAAGTCACCAGTTATAAGTTGAGGACTACTTGTACCACCTTCCCTTTCCTTACATTCCCTCATGGTGGCTGAGAAATTCTGGGAGTTGAAGTCTACCTATTGTAAAGGTGCCATATTCTCACATTTTGGTTGAGGAATTCTGGGAGTTGAAGTCCACCCATTGTAACGCTGCTGAGGTTGAGAAATACTGGCCTAAAGCAATGTTAGCTCTGAGCTGCTGTGGGAAATTAAAAGTTGTGTGAGGTTCTGCCTTCTGTCGCTCCTCAAGAGCCAATCTACAAGAAGCATCATCCAGGGGGCCTGTTGTGCATGGAGATGATTTTGTCTGTTCAAATACAGAGGTAGAAGATTATCAGGAATGATCTGGGGAACGTGAGTGATTTCTTTGCCTGTTTTTCCTGAAATTGTAATACTTATTTGTTTATTAAATTTATATACCATCATACACTCACACAATTCTCCATACAACAGTTGTGTTTTGTGTGGTTGGTACTTACAAGGCAGAGTAACAGGGTCCCAACACCACAAAAACACTGGCCAAAAAAAGTTCCCATAATGCACTAGGCCAGCTTAAAATGGGGTTGGATGGCTTATGGTCCAGCATCTCTCCCTTTTCCCCTGCTTCTTTCCTTTCCTTCTTTTTCTTCCTCTCCCCCTGTCCCTTTCCCCCCTCCCCATCTCCCTCTCTCCCCCTCCCCCTCCTCTTCCTCCCCCTCCTTTTCTCTCTCTCCCCTCTCTCTCTCTCCCTCTTCCCCCTCTCTTCATCTTCTTCTTCCTCTTCCTCACTCTTTCTGTCCCTGTCCCCCTCCCTCTCCCCCTCTTCTTCCTCTTCCTCTCCCTTTTTCTCCTTCCCTCTCTCCCCCTCCCCCTCCCCCTCCCTCTCTCTCTCTCTCTCTCCCCCCTTCCCTGCCATGCACCAGTTACCTTCCAGAGCAGTGTTTCTCAACCTTGACAATTTTAAAGCATGTGGACTTCAACTCCCAGAATTCCACAGCCAGCATTGCTGGCTGTGGAATTCTGGGAGTTGAAGTCCACATGCCTTAAAATTGTCAAGGTTGAGAAACACTGTTCCAGAGGCTTTCTGTTGATGGGCCCCTGTGACCCATCCAAGGCAGTTCTGGGTCACACAAGGCCTTCGTTCCTTTAGCAGCTTCTGAAAATGCTTTTTGGTGATCTCTGTGGATTCCAAAAACGGTGCAAAAGCGTGCCCCATTCTCACACCGCATTCTCATGTGACCCAAACCCTAACCTATTCTTGTGTGACCAGTGAATCCTCCAAAAATCACGCAAGAACAGGGGATGCTGCTGAGAATAGCCGTTGTTGGGTATTGGTGAATCTGGTGCATCACTGAAAATGTTGTGGCGTGTCACCTTTGACATGGGCGTCATAGGTTCGCCATCACTGGTCTGGAGAGAGAGGTCTAGGTTTGAGTGGCATTGCTTAAACTGAACAACAACATATTTAAGGCCTACACTGAACCATAAATGGATCCGCCCAGTGCTCTTCAACATCTTCATCAACGATTTGGATGAGGGGATAGATGGGGAACTCATCAAATTTGCAGACGACACCAAGCTGGCAGGAATAGCCAACACTCCAGAAGACAGGCTGAGGATACAGGAGGATCTGGACAGACTTGAACACTGGGCACTGTCTAACAAAATGAAATTCAGTGGTGAAAAAAGCGAGGTTCTACATTTAGGCAAGAAAAACCAAATGCACAAGTGCAGCATAGGTGGCACCTTGCTCAATAGTAGTAACTGTGAGAGGGACCTCGGAGTCCTAGTAGACAGTCACCTAAATATAAGCCAGCAGTGTGCTGCAGTTGCCAAAAAGGCCAACGCAGTGCTAGGCTGCATTAACAGAGGGATAGAATCAAGATCACGTGAAGTATTAATACCGCTTTACAATGCCTTGGTAAGGTCACACTTGCAATACTGCATCCAGTTTTGGTCACCACGATGTAAAAAAGATGCTGAGACTCTAGAAAGTGTACAGAGAAGAGCAACAAAGATGATTAGGGGACTGGAGGCTAAAACATATAAGGAACGGTTCTTGGAATTCGGTATGTCTAGTTTAATGAAGAGAAGGACAAGGGGGGACATGATAGCAGTATTCCAATATCTCAGGGGCTGCCCCAAAGATGAGGGAATCAAGCTATTCTCCAAAGCACCTGAAGGCAGGACAAGAAGCAACGGATGGAAACTAATCAAGGAGAGAAGCAACCTAGAACTAAGGAGAAACTTCCTGACAGTGAGAACAATTAATCAGTGGAACAACCTGCCTCCAGAAGCGGTAAATGCTCCAACACTGGAAGTTTTTAAGAAGAGACTGGACAGCCATTTGTCTGAAATGGTATAGGATTTCCTGCCTGAGCAGGGGGTTGGACTAGATGACCTCCAAAGTCCCTTCCAACTTTACTATTATTACTATTATTATAATAATAATTCACCTGTAGAGTTCAAACGCTTCCTTTGTGTGTGCACTTCACTTTGTCTCCTTTCCCAGAGTTGTTTGCACTGGAGGCCTAAAGCAAAGTGGTGGCAATTTTCATAACATCCTGGCCTGCAACTTGGGGCCTAGATAAATATGCATTCAAGAAAGAGATGATTGGATTGTATGGACACCACCCAATCATCTCTAAGCCTCCCTTCAGATCTTTGACTTGGGAGTTGAAGTTCAAACATCTTCAAGATTCTGAGGTTGAGAAACCATGTTAGCTTAAAGACTCTGTGGGAAATTAAAAGGGTTGGTGAGTTTCTGCCTCCGGTTGCTCATCAAAAGGCTGATCCAGGGCAAGTATCATTCTGTTAGTTTGCATTTAGGAAGTTCATTGTGCATGCAAATGTTTGTAATGTTTGTCATAATTTTGAATGTCACTTGTCATAATCTATTTGCGAACCTCACAAATGTTTCCAAATTTGAGGAGAAATACTGGTACTGCTAGTCCTCAAGTTACAACAGTTCATTTAGTGACCGTTCAAAGTTACAACAACATTGAAAAAAGTGATCTATGACCGTTTTTCACCGTTATGACCCTTGTAGCATCCCCATGATCATGTGATCAAAGTCCAGCTGATTGGCAACTGGTTCATACTTGTGACCATTGCTATGTCCCAAGGTAATGAGATCCCCTTTTGTGACCTTTTGACAAGCAAAGTCAATGGGGAAGCCAGATTTGCTCAATAACCGGGTTACTAATTTACCAACTACAGTGATTCACTTAACAACAGTGGCAAGAAAGATTGTAAAATGGGGCAAAACTCACTTAACAAATCTCTTCTCAACTCTAAGTCGAGCACTACCTGTAGTTCTCGACTTCTATCTACAATTGGGATTAGAATTTCCATTGCTAAGCAAAGTGGTTAAGTGTGTGTCACACCTGATTTTATGACTTTTTTTGCTATGGTTATTAAAACAGTTTTTAGGTGAATCACGCAGTGATTAAGCACATCCGACTTCTCCCATTGACTTTGCTTGTCTGAAGGCGGCTAGGAAGGTCGCAACTGATGATCATATGACTCTGGGATGTTGCATCTCTCTTAAAAACATGCCAGTTGCCAACCCCCCAAATTTGGAGGACGTAACTGTGGGGCTGCTGCAACGGTCATAACTGTGAAGACCAGTTATAAGTCACTTTTTTCAGTGGCATTGCAGGTTCAAACACTTGCTACACAAGTAAGTTGAGGACTACTGTACTCCAAAGACCCCATTTGTAAATTTTCTGCATAGTGTGAAAGGTTGGTGTTTTTAATGGAAGGCCCCAAAAAAGTCAATGTAGAGGAAGACGATTTTTTTATTTGGGTGAAGATTTAGAGACAAATATTGCCATTTCACCCCTTTTCTAAAACTTGATTCTTGATTCTTTTCAGTTAAGATCTTTCAGTTTAGTAGCTGGAGGAGCTGTGGCATTGTGCAGTGAGCCAGAATACATAATTGTGATCGATAGTTTGGAAAGAGCTGGCTCCTGCATGAGGCGATCTGCGCTGTGATTGGCTGCTGTGGGTGTGGAGGGGGAGTTTCCCTTTTTTCCCGCCTTTTTTCTTCTCTGTGCTTTGTACACTCTGTGATTTACCTCACGATTCTCCCATTTGCCTGACTATCTTCTTTACTGTACTGTAAATATAGATGTTAAATTTATTTATTTATGGAAAACTACAAGTTCTTGTCAGCGTCTCTGACTCCATTTGGTTGCTCAATTCCCTGACATTTTCACTCTGTCCTACAGGAGGACTTATTTGTCGTGCTCTGCTCTCTACGATACCCGACCACAATGTGGACACCTTCATCTCTCTCTCCTCCCCGCAAATGGGGCAATATGGGGGTAAGCACTGAAACAAGAATAAGGGACATTCTGGTGACATTTGTGTGGGACTTTGGGACACAAGACTGGAGTGTAAGGGGAAAAGGAAAAAACCAAACCAGGGACTTAACTCTTTTTGGTGCAATGGAATATCAAGTACAGTTGCAACCTCAGCTTTTTGTTTTACATTTCTGATGGATACCAGCCATTTCTATAACAGTGAAATATAATATTTCATTTCCAGTACCTTTTCCTTTATCCTATTTGGTTTACCGTTCATGTCTCACCAATCCAAATGTTTCATTTTTGCACCTCCATTCATGCATTTGTTTGTATTATATTTAAACATGGGTTTATATAGGCCGGGGGTAGGCAACCTTGGCTCTTTTATGACTCGTGAACTTCAACCCCCAGAATTCCTGAGCCAGCTGGCTCAGGAATTCTGGGAATTGAAGTCCACGAGTCATAAAAGAGCCAAGGTTGCCTACCCCTGATATAGGCAGTCCTACTCCTACGACCACAGTTGAGCCCGAAATTTAGATTGTGAAGTGAGACATTTGTTAAGTGAGTTTTGCCCCATTTTACGACCTTTCTAGCCACAGTTGTTAAGTGAATTACTGCAGGTGTTAAGTTAGTAACACGGTTGTTAAGTGAATCTGGCTTCCCCATTGACTTTGCTTGTCAGAAGGTCAGGAAAAGCTGTTCACAAGACTCCGGCCCACTGCAACCGTTGTAAATATGAACCAGTTGCCAAGCATCTGAGTTTTGATCACATGACCATGGGGATGCTGCAATGGTTGTTAAGTGTGGAAAATGGTCATAAGTCGCTTTTTCCAGTGCCTTTGTAACTTTGAATGGTCATTAAACAAACAGTTGTAAATTGAAGAATAACTGTATTTACTCTTATACATGTATTTATATTTATATTTACATTACTAAGATGGAAATCGCTGGAATTTTGACAGCCCTAGCTTTTCCAACTGGTGCCACCTCCAAATAGATGGGATTTCAGCTCCCAAATTAGCTGGTGTCATGATTCCGTTCAAACCGGTCAGTCCTAGAAGAGATCAACCCTGACTGCTCTTTAGAAGGCCAGATCCTGAAATTGAAACTCAAATACTTTGGCCACCTAATGAGAAGGAAGGCCTAATGCTGGGAAAGATTGAGGGCAATAGAAGAACGGGACGACAGAGAATGAGATGGCTGGATGGAGTCCCTGAAGCAGTAGATGTGAACTTAAATGGACTCCAGAAGATGGTAGAGGACAGGAAGACCTGGAGGAACGTTGTCCATGGGGTCGCGATGGGTCGGACACAACTTCGCAATTAACAACAATGGTTCCGACAGATGAAACTCTTCAAAGAACTTTGAGGCATTGTTTACCTTAAAGAATCTTTATCCGAGCAGCATAGCATATATGTCTATAAGCGAAGCCAAAATCTGGATTCCTCTTCTCTTAGCACATAGTATCAAACACAATTTCCTCCTCTAATAATTAACAGTCATAAATCACATTCTCCAATTAGTTTGAAATGCAGGCTTTCCCTCCTGTTCTCCAACCCGCCCTTTCTTATCATCTCTTATTTCAAAAGCCCTGAGTTCACACACTATTACAATATTGTTATGTCTAACTAACTCCCATCACATTCCTCCTCCTCCCCCAGTATCATCTAATTCTAAGAGTAAAGCATAAGAAAGAAAAAGGCTGCATCTCCATATATTGTCAAAGCAAGAACATCCAATGTTAGCAGCGTTGACAGCTGGCACATGTAGAGCTATTTACTTTGAAAAGGAGCTAAGATTAGGGATGGCTACCCCAATTAGTTGTCATGTGTGCTTTAGCCTTCCCAAAGGCATACAGGTGGTCCTCAACTTATGACTACAATTGAGCCTCAAATTTCTGCTGCTAAGTGGGTCGTTTGTTAAATGGGTTTTGCCCCATTTTACGATCTTTCTTGCCACAGTTGTTAAGTGAATCACTGCAGTTGTTAAGTTAGTAACATGGTTGTTAAGTGAATCTGGCTTCCCCATTGACTTTGCTTGCCAGAAGGTCACAAAAGGCGATTGATTACACGACCCTGGGGCATTGAAACTGCAATAAATATGAGTCCATTGCTAAAAATCTGAATTTTGATCATGCGACCATGGCAATGCTGCAACAGTCATAAGTATGAAAAATGGTCATAAGTCGCCTTTTCAGTGCTGTTGTAACTTTGAGTGCTCACTAAATGAACTGTTGTAAGTTGAGGACTACCTGTAATGTCTGGGGATTATGAGTGATTTGGGCCATCCTGTCTGGAAACATCAGACCGGGTTCCGAAAGGATAGAAGATCCTGAACTTAAAACAGTGGTGGGAAAACTATTCATTGGCATTCTCTACATTTCTTTTTCAATTCAGACACCAAGTACTTGAAGTGGCTCTTTCCACACTACATGAAGAGCAACCTCTACCGCCTCTGCTACACACAGCTGGGTCAAGATGTGTCCATCTGTAACTACTGGAATGGTAAAATTGGGTTTGCTTTGTGACTTCAGCAGTTATTCTTCATTTCATGGGGGGCTTTTGAGGGTTTAAACTGTTTTCACCTATGAATGAATATGCATGTCCCAGGATAATGTTGCAAGATCCAATCTGGGTCAGTCACCAGGACCAGAGGTTTTGTCTTCCAAGCTTTCAGACTTGTGCTGGATCCCATCCTCCAGGAACTTCTCTCTCTCCAGAATGTTTTGACCTATATTGTTGAATTCACATTTTGTGTGAGGCCATGGTTTGTTTTAAATGTGGTTCGTTGAAGCTCCAGTAGCTCAGCTAATAACACTAATCCATAACCAAAGAAATTGCACTGTGGCTAATGCAATGGGTGAACTCCTCTTTTGGCCAGGTTCTTGTCTTAAGCCAAGTTGGATGGCCAAATGTAATTGGGTTGGGTGAATACAACTCACTAAACTATAAGCTGAGGCTTTCAAATTATAGCCACTGAATTTATGCTTATAGACTTAGCTAAAGCTAAATAATGTCTTAATGGGATGTTTCATTTGGCCTGTGCGTCAACGTAATTCCTTAATAGGCCAATATTTATCCACATTTTCTGGTTCCCAGTGTGGAGGCTGTATGAGGCATTGCTTACACAGCCAAAATAGTATTGTCTATGCCAAAAATGTTAAATTAGCACTTTTTAATTGCTCATTTCTGGTATTAAAAATTGGTTAAGATCTAGTTTCGTATCTTAAATCTAGAGGAAAGAGAGATGTAGGGTGGGCTCATACGTTGCCCTGAACCTTGAAGTTGATTTAGTGAGTTAATTAACATATCCTATTGGATACAGAAACAAAACAAAGTGACTCTCAACTTTTCTCTCTCTCCCCCTTCCCATCTTTTGCATTTTCAGACCCACACCACAGAGATCTTTACCTCAACAATAGCAATTTCTTGGCCGTGTTGAATGATGAGAGACTTCACCCCAATGCAAGTGGTAAATGCGTTTTGACATCCTTCAATCCCAATACAGAAGGGAGAGTGGTAGGGTAGCAAGCACCACATATTCCTGCTTTGTGATTAATTCAAAATACAGGTAGTCCTTGACTTACAACCACAGTTGAGCTCAAAAGTTCCGATATTAAGCAAGATAGTTATTAAGTGAATTTTGCCCCAATTTTTGACCTTTCTTGCCACTGTTGTTAAGTGAATCACTGCAACCGTTGTGTTGGTAATACAATTGCAAAGTGACTCTGGCTTCCCCATTGACTTGGCTTGTCAGAAAGTCGTAAAAGGTGATCACATGACCCCAGGAAACTGCAACTGTCATAAATATGAGCAGGTTGTCAAGCGTTTGAATTTTGATCACATGACCATGGAGATGCTGCAACAAGTCATGTGTGAAAAACAGTCATAGTCACTGTTGTAATTTCAAATGGTCACTAAACAAATTGTTGTAAGTTGATGACTACCTGTCTTAGCTGCCTTAATACTTGGACCAACCGAGAATTTGCTCCTAAACCATGAATCGGTGTTCTTCCTGGGAGAGAAAACTACAGCTGAAGCCACCTTGAAACAATGATCCAATTTGGATGGAAAAAAAGGGCATTTTGAGCCTTCCTAAAGTACAACTCCCACAAGATTCTGCTAGTAAGACTTATGATGAAGGATGCTGGGAGTTTTAGTTCATCAATGTATGCAAGGCTGCAGAGACTTCATTTCTGAGTTGGAGCCAAACGAGATAGGCTAAGACAGTGATGGCGAATCTTTTAGAGACCTAGTGCCCAAATTGTAACCCAAAACCCACTTATTTATCATTGGGTGCCAGGTGAGCGTGGCCGCGGTGGTCGTGACAGACTAGATGGGTGAGGCCAGGGTGGTGGGGGCCAGTCCCTCACCATCTCCAGGGCACGGCACGTGTGCCCACAGAGAGGGCTCGGAATGCCGCCTCTGGCACGCGTGGCATAGGTTCGCTACCACTGGGCTAAGAGCCATGGTGGCACAGTGGTTAGAATGCAGTTATGCAGGCTAACTCACTGCTTACTCTCAGGAGTTCGATTCTGAACAGTTCAAAGTTGACTCAGCCTTCCGTCCATCTGAGGTCGGTAAAATGAGGATTGTTGCTGATTCTGTAAACCGCTTAGAGAGGGCTGTAAAGCACTATGAAGCAGTATATAAGTCTTAAGTGCTATCGTTATTGCTATACAGGTAGTCCTTGACTTACGACCGGTCATTTAACAACCACTTGAAGTTATGACAGACATGTTCAAAAAGCTACTTATAACCCGTTGTTGAAGTTATGACTGCTGCTCCTTCTCTCCCCCATGGTCATGTGATCACACTAGCACTTGCAACCAGCTCACATTTATGACTGGCTGTGGCGTCCCGTGGACACATGACTGCAATTTGCTACTTTTTAAATTTATTTATTAAATTTAGGTACCACTCTTCTCACTCTCAGAGTGACTCTTTTCTGGCAAAAAAAAAAAAAGAATAGATTTGCTTAACCACCACATGACTCACTTTACAATGGTTGTGACTCACTTTACGACCATCGTAAAAATTATCGTAAAATAAAGTCCGCTCATGCGGTATCTCAGTTTATGATCCCAAGGACTTATGACCAAAATTCCAGGCTCTATTGATCTCAGAGATTACCTGTACTGGCTAGGCAGCTATCAGTCCAGGATGCTTTAATTCAGTTCCTGCACCAAGAAGAGTTGGATTCTCAATAGCTCTCTCCAACTCTACGATTCTCTGTTCAAACCTGCAGAGCAAATCAAATCTTCAATGAATTCCTGCCAAAAGGGATTATTTTTAGGAGCCTATCCAAACTCTGCCTTACAGTTAGAGCTGGCTCTGTGCCTCCAGCAAAAGTTTAGAAGCAGGAGTACGTACACATGATTTCATTTGCAAGTGAAACATTTCCTAATATGGAGAATACAAGGTGACTGGAAAAATCATTGCTCGTTTTTTTTTCCTGCCGGAGCCTTTCATGAAGGCTTGGCCAAGCCAGATCCGCCTGGGGGCTTTAAAGTTCAAGCTTGTCAAATTTCCTGACCTTTCAGGCTTTGGGATAATCATGAAATGCCATTCAAAATCGGGGATAGCTTTTAATATGACACGGCCTGATGTTATTTTTCTGCATCATTTCTGCTAACTACCTAAACCAGCATTTTCTAATCTTGGCAATGTGTGGACTTGGACTCCCAGAATTCCCCAGAAGAATGTCAACTCCCAGAATTTCTCAGTGGCTGGGGAATTTTCGGAGTCAAAGTCCACACCTCTTAAAGTTGGCCAAGGTTGGGAAACAGTAGTCTAAACTACACATTAATTCATAAAGATAATTGCCAGATCACAAATATTAAAAAGGAGCAAAAGCAGAAGGGGAAAAGGAGATAATTAAATGCATTAGACATGACAACTTTACTAGAAATTTCCTGGAGGATAAATAGTTGTTTCATCTATCTACAAGTAGAGCAGGAAAATCTATTTTTGGCCTGGAACTAACTCTCTACCTGGGGCCATGTGAGGTGTGTGGCCAGTGAAACTATGATGTCATTGGAATAGGTAAATCTGAAATACTCAGGCTCATTTTTTTTAGTAATTTTTAAGATAAAATAGGTGCCTTTTCTACTTAAGTCCCCCCCCCCAAACATATAGGTAGTCCTTGACATACAAGCACAGTTGAGCCCAAAATTTGTGTTGCATGACAGTTGTTCAATGAATTTTGTTACATGACCTTTCTTGCTACAGTTATTAAGTGAATCACTGCAGTTAACAAGTTATTAATACGGTTGTTAAGTGAATCTGGCTTCCCTCACTGATTTTGTTTGTCAGAAGATAGCAAAAGGGGATCACATGACCCTGGGATATTGCAACCATCATAAAAAAAGAACCAATTGCCAAGCATCCAAATTTTGATCACGTGACCATGGAGATGCTGCGATGGTCATAGGTGTGAAAAACAGTGATAAGTCATTCTTTCAATGACATTGTAACTTTGAACGATCACTAAATGAATGGTTGTAAGTAGAGGACTACCTGTATTTTATGCCTGCTTTTTAAGAGAGATAATGTCTTCCGTGAGTGTCGTCAAATCTGTGAAGAGTTATATTCTGTCACCTAGAGGAGTAATAAAAATATCTTAGCCCTATCCACTCTGGTGGCTACAAACAACTCACAATTTCCCCACTTAAAGGCTTAAAATACTCTTCCCCTAACCTCAGAGTTTCCAGAAATGTGGGAACTACGATTCCCAGAACACTTTGGGAAAACCCAGTCCCAACTAGACATCGAAAATGCCAAAGAGTGGAAGGTGAAATGAGTAGAATAGAATAGAAAGTAGAATAGAATAGAATAGAATAGAATAGAATAGAATAGAATAGAATAGAATAGAATAGAATAGAATAGAATAGAATTGGAAGGGACCTTGGAGGTCTCCCCCTTGGAGCAGGGGAACCTATACCAGTGGTGGCGAACCTATGGCACGGGTGCCAGAGGTGGCACTCAGAGCCCTCTCTGTGGGCACGTGCGCCGTTGCTCCAGTCCTAGGCCTTCAGCTGAGTTTTATAAAATCTTTTCACTTTGGGCCTCCGCCGCCATGTGCAAAAAAAAAAAAAGGTTCAATCAATCAGTCAATTTCAACTTCTCGCGGGAAAAAAAAAGATCTCACAAAGTCGAAATTGATTGATTGAACTTTTTAGTCCCACCCAGTCTGCTGTTACCACCGTAGCCAGCCCATCCAATTGGCCACACCCAGCCAATGGGCCACACCCAGCCAATGGGCCACACCCAGCCGGCACTCGATGATGCATAAGAGGGTTTTGGGTTGCGGTTTGGGCAATCAGTCTCTAAAAGGTTCACCATCATTGCCCTATACCATCTCAGACAAGTGACTGTCTAGTCTCTAGTAGAACCTGTTTTATTGCTTATGTCTTTTATAAAAGCAGGAGGAAACACTGCAAGGTCTCCGTAAACTTAAGAATAAGGGCGCAGGGAAAGGTTTGTTGACTGCTGAGGAGGCAGGAAGAGGGAAAGGGAACAAAAGGGGAAGAGGAGAAACTGGAAAGGCAACCAAGTTTCTCAAATTCTGCTCCTCTCGTAGCATGGAAGAGAAACCTTTTGCGCATCCGCAAGCTGATTCTGATCGGCGGCCCAGACGACGGGGTCATCATGCCCTGGGAATCCAGGTGAGCTTTCGGACATGGCAAGAAAGATATTCTGTTCTGAACTGAGAGGAGCTGAGTGCTGATCACCACTTAGCAAGGAGAAACTGTTTAGCACCACTTGCAACCACGAGAATATTGGAATTGGTGCAGACTTGAGCTGCTTAACTTGGTTCCTTAATAATCGATTGGAGCCAGAGAGAGAGAGAGAGAGCTTGCACTGATCATTCTGGCTGAATCTAATCACGCTTTCCAGTATCTGGCAGGTGGGAAGGGACAAACATATACCCTACCTCAGTGGTGGCGAACCTATGGCACGCGTGCCAGAGGCGGCACTCGGAGCCCTCTCTGTGGGCACATGTGCTGTTGCCCCAGCCTTGCCTCCCCCCATGACCCCCTCCTCACCAGCAGCCCCCCTGAAGGAGAGTTGCCCCTGAGCGTGGCCCACGTGGAGCAGCACAGCCAAGGACATGGCAGCCAGGCAGCATAGACAAGACTCTGCCCTCACGCCCCATTGCACGCAGTTGATGCTGTGGGGCGCGGGCAGAGGGCGTTGCTGCCATGGTGCTACTGGGCTGCCTGGGCGATCTGTGGCGGGCCCTGGAGGCGGTGAGTGGCCCTGCGGGCAGGCAGGGTGGGGGCAGGGCAGGTAGTGGAACGTCGGCAGTGCCAGTTTTTGGGCACTCAGTCTCTAAAAAGTTCGCCATCACTGCCCTACCTCTTCCACACCACTCCTGTTTTTGATTTTCTGCAGCAATCTGCAGAGCTATTCTCTTGCTTACATGGAAAGCCCTCAATTTTCCATGTAGAAGTGCAGAGAAGAGCAGCAAGGATGATTAGAGGGCTGGAGGGTAAAATATATGAAGAAGTGTTGCAGGAACTGGGTATGTCTAGTCCAATTAAAAGAAGGAGTAGGGGTGACATGATAGCAGTGTTCCAACATCTAAGGCAGTGGTCCCCAACCTTTTGGGCACCAGGGACCGGTTCCGTGGAGAGAGGTTTTTCCGCGGGTTGGAGGGTGCGCGGTTTTGTGTGCTGCCTGCATCCCACGGATGAGGCTTTCCTTGTTTGTGCGGACCAGTTGCTGGTATGCTGCGGCCCGATACTGGTCCAAGGACCGGGGTTTGGGGACCCCTGATCTAATGGGCTGCCACAAAGAAGAGGGAGTCACCCTATTCTTCAAAGCACCTGAAGGCAGAACAAGAAGCAATGGATGGAAACTAATCAAGAAGAGAACCAACCTAGAAATAAGGAGAAATTTTTTGACAGTTAGAAGAATTAACCAGTGTAATGGCTTGCCTTCAGAAATCATGGATGCTCCATCAGTGGAGGTTTTTTAAAGAAGAGACTGGACAGCCACCTGTCTGAAATGGTTTAGTTGGCAGAAAAGAACTTTATGGTGCTTTTGTCAATTACAGCTTTTGTCAATTACAGCAATAGTTCAAGTTTTGGAAATGGTGAATTACGGTAGCTAGTAGATGTTAAGTTCTACTAGTCTTCTATTTCTCATTTCCCTGCAATTACAGCTTGCAGGGAAATGAGAAATAGAAGACTAGTAGAACTTAACATCTACTAGTTACCGTAATTGACCATTTCCAAAACTTGAACTATTGCCTCCAATTGCCAGTTAGGGAATTTGATCAGATAAGACCATTGTCAGTAAAGGATCCTTTACGCTTGTAGATCAAAGCAAAAGGGCCCCAAGATGGCTGCTGCAGCCATCTTATTTCACAACATATAAGATTCACAATAAGATCTTATAGTGAATCTTACATGTTGTGAATTAAGATGGCTGCAGCACCCACCTTGATAGATATTAGATATTAAGGACAGATATTAGCATCTGTATTAGATATTAACATCTGTTCTGTTTAACACACTATCAACTGTCTTTGCTGTTTGTTTTCAAACACTGCATCTCTAATCTATAATCATGCAATCCATTTTCACTAAGCATTATTATTTTGTTCTTCGGTGGATTACTTTTTAGATTCACCCTCTTCAGGGCATCATATGATTTAACATTCACTGCACAGTCAGGTGATCAAAATTCAGACACCTGACAACTGGCATGTATGTACATTAGTTGCAGTGTCCCGGGGTCGTAATTCTTTGTTGGAGATAACATTTACAATTGGTCCTCGACTTATGACCACAATTGGTCAAAATTTTCTGTTGCTTAGCAAGGTGGTTTTTAAGTGAGCCATCCCCAATTTTACAAGCTTTTTTTTTGGCACGGATGTTAAATAATGATGATGATGATGATGATGATGATGATGATGAAGTTGAAAGGGACCTTGGAGATCATCTAGTCCAACCCCCTGCTCAGGCAGGAAACCCTATACCATTTCGGACAAATGGCTGTCCAGTCTCTTCTTAAAAACTTCCAGTGTTGGAGCATTCACCGCTGCATGAGGCAGGTTGTTCCACTGGTTAATTGTTCTAACTGTCAGGAAGTTTCTCCTTAGTTCTAGGTCGCTGCTCTCCTTGATTAGTTTCCACCCGTTGCTTCTTGTCCTGCCTTCAGGCACTTTGGAAAATAGCTTGACTCCCTCTTCTCTGTGGCAGCCCCTGAGATATTGGAACACTGCTATCATGTCCCCCCTCGTCCTTCTCTTCATTAGGCAACACATAGCCAATTCCAGCAACCGTTCCTTATCACTGCGGTTGTTAAAATGGATTGTGCATTTGATAAGTGAATCTGGCTTCTCCCACTGACTTTGCTTGTCAGATGCCAGCTGGGAAGGCCACTCATGGCAACCACATGACCTCAGGACTCCCTGCAGCCATGGCAAATACATCGCTGGTTGCCAAGCATCTGAATTTTGATCACTTGACTATGGGGATGCTGCAAAGGGCTGGTCCTAGGTCATTTTTCTCAGTGCTGTTGTAACTGTGAACAGTCACTAAACAAACATCTGTAAGTCGAGGACCACCTGTATGTTTGTTTCGGTTTCCCTCTTCAAAATCACTATTGTGCCTTATCATCACTTCCCGTGCAAATGTTTAATTTTTTTTCTTTCCAACTTGCTGAGTTTTATCCCAAATCATTCCATCTATTTTCCCTTTAAATTTATTCACTCTTCCCTTGGAGAGAGAGTTTTTCATTCCTCTTCATCCACTTCTAAAACAACTTTTTATTTCCGATTCTCTGCATTTTTTTCTATTTCTTCCTCTGAACCATCCTTTGTTCTCTTTAACTTTATTTTTTCACTCTGTATACATGTATCATCTGTATCTCTTGTAAGGAGGTATTATTATTGTTATGGTCTTTGACCAGTATAGGTACATATATGCATATTCAAAAACTAAAACACAGATCACTGAGACTAAAAATTTATTAAAAACTTAGCTTTCGTCAGCGTCTGCTAACATCGTCAGAGTTCTAGTTTTAGCAGACGCTGACGAAAGCTAAGTTTTTAATAAATTTGTTGTGTTTTAGTTTTTGAATATGAATATACCTGAAACTCGTATCTTCAAAACCATTTTAGATATATGCATATACACGTAAAATTCTACATCGGTTATAAAAATAGTAAGAAGGAATTAAAATATTTAAAAAGAAAAAGGTGTGAGGGGGTCTTCCAGATTTATTAGATACATTGTATAAATCTACAAGGATTGTTCTGTTTCTTTTATAGCATGTTTGCCTTCTATGATGTTAATGAGACGGTGAGGGAAATGACATCTCAGCCGGTGAGTAAGGACAAACTAACAATGTGAGGTGAAAAAAATGTGGCAGGAAGAATATGTTTCGGTTTATTGTGGTGGTTCCAAACCTTTTTGCCATCACACCTCCCTTCAGTGTCGTGCATCCCCAAATTTTTCCCTCATTATCCAAAACCGCTTATCAGAAAGACCTTTTTACAAATGTTTCAACAATTAAAAACAAAGCCTCTATAATGGTTTAAAGGCTATCAGTCCCATGAAACATTAAGGTCACAGTAAAAGACTAAAAGTAACTCAAAAGATCAGTGTAAAGAGATGTCTTAGTTCTTTCTAAAAACAAAAAACGTGGGGCTATTCTTAATTTTGAAGGCCACTCTGCATAATTTGGGTATGATATAGTCCAGTGGTGGCGAACCTTTTAGAGACCAAGTGCCCAAAAACTGGCCCCGCACCTACTCCACCGTCTGCCCCCGCTCCGCCCTCCCATCCCCTGCCCCGCCTGCCCGCAGAGCCACTCACCACCTCCAGGGCCTGCCGCAGATCGCCCAAGCAGTCCAGCAGCGCTATGGTGGTCACGCCCTCTGCCCGCACCCTGAAGCATCAGCTGTGCACAATGGGGTGTGTGGGCAGAGTCTGGTCTATGCTGTCTGGCTGCCATGTTCTTGGCTGCGCTTCTCTGGATGGGCCATGCTCAGGGGCAACTCTCCTTCAGGGGGGCTGCTGGAGAGAAGGGGGTCGCGGGGGGAGGCAAGGCTGGGGCAACGGCATGTGTGCCCACAGAGAGGGCTCCGAGTGCCACCTCTGGCACCTGTGCCATAGGTTCACCACCACTGATATAGTCTTTCACGCCCGTGTCAGAAACAAGCTCCTGAGAGGAGGGATTCCATCCATGTGGGCTGTCCTGCAGATTGTAAAAGTTCTCACACACCTAGCCCTTTAAACAGGCACCCAACAAAACCAGCTTGTCTAGCTAGATTCTCAACCACCCAGGTCATGTTTGTCCCAAAGGTGCTTTTTCAAAAAGGCAACTGGACTTTCTTGTTTGTTTTTTTTCTTCAATTTTTTTTTTTGCTTCTCATTCAAGAACTTTCTCGTAAGCAAAACATTTTCAAAAACAAAAAACAAAAAACCAAGAAAGTTCAGTGGCCTTTTGGAAAACGCACTTTTGGGGATGTCTAAGTAACACCTCTGCCTTGAAAACTCACACACCTTGCAAGCCTTTTCCGATTAGTCTATATAAATGGATGCACCAAGAGAGATTGACCCATCACGTACCGTCAAAAATGAATCAGCAAGGATGAATGGAGAATCAGTTCACGGTGAATCTTCTCACCCCTCAGCTGTTGATAGAGACCAGACTTGAACACCAAAGTTATGAATATTAAAAGTATAGGTGGTCCTCGACTTAGGACCACAACTGAGCCCAAAATTTCTGTTGTTAAGGAAGACATTTGTTAAGTGAGTTTTGCCCCATTTTATGGCTTTTCTTGCCACAGTTGCTAAGTGAATCCCTGCAGTTGATAAGTTAGTATTAACTTATTAAGGGAATCTGGTTTCCCCGTTAACTTTGCTTTGTCAGAAGGTCACAAAACGGGATAATGTGACCTTGGGACACAGCAAAGATCATAAATGTGAGCCAGTTGCCAAGCATCTGAATTTTGATTACGTGACTATGGGGGATGCTACAAAGGTCCTAATTATGAAAAATGGTCGTAAGTCACATTTGTCAGTGCCATTGTAACTTTGAATGGTCATTAAACGAACTGTTGTAAGCCGAAGACTACCTGTATTTTTATTATATGGTTACAATAATAAGAGTCTTGCAACTCTGAATGTATTCCCTCCCCCCCACTGCTTTTCTCCTAAAAAGAACTGGGGAGAATCCAGTCTGAGAAGTTTTCTCAAACTACATTTCTGATTCGGCCTCTGATTTCTCTTATCTGACTGTTACCTCAGCTGCGACTTTTCCTCAGGGTTATTTTTACAATCCGTTACATTATGAAAGTGCGAACTGCAGACCTTCTGAGACAGGATTGGCAATGACTGTTTTTATTTGTTTATCTAATTTACATAACTGCCCATCTCACAAGCATGTGACTCTAGGTCAGGGGTAGGCAACCTTGGTTCTTTTATGACTCGTGGACTTCAACTTCCAGAATTCCAGCCAGGCTGAGGGGGAAGGGAGAGGTTTCCAAGCTGAGCCATGCTGGCTCAGGAATTCTGGGAGTTGAAGTCCACGAGTCATAACAGAGCCAAGGTTGCCTGCTCCTGCTCTGGGTGATCTACAACAAAACTAAAGAAGTTTATGTTTGCTTATATTTCAGAGTTAAATAAATAGGTTAAATCAGTTTATATAGAGGCCTTACCCATAATGTTGTCCTCACAACAATTCTCTGAGATTGGTTGGGTTGAGAACCGAACATTGTCCCAAGATCACCCATTGTGTTCTGTAACAAAGGGAAACTCAAGACTTTAAATATCTCTGAGGCCAGTCCTATGCCTTAACTACTTACTACACCAACCTCACCATGTTAGTTCATCTCAGATTTACATGGCCTAGGAGTCTTCCGTTTTTAAAACTTGAAAGAAACTAGAAATATTTGGTACATGTAGGAAACAAAACAGAAATAATCCACTAGATGTGGATTGTTAAATGTTGTGATTTGTTGACTCTTTGTGATTTGAGAACAAGTGTTATGCAGATAGTCCTCGACGTACAACCACAACTGGGCCCATTTTTTTTTGGTTGCTGAGTGAGTTTTGCCCCCATTTTACAATCTTTTTTTTCATGGTTGTTAAGTGAATCTCTCCAGTTATTTAGTGACACAGTTTGTTTAAGTGAATCTGGCTTCCCCATTGATTTGGCTTGTCAGGAGGTTGCAGAAGGTAATCACACGACCCCTGGACACTACATTAATATGAGTCAGTTGCCAAGCATCTGAATTTTGAACATGTGACCAGGAGGATGCTACAACAGTCGTAAGTGTAAAAAATGGTCATAAGTCACTTTTTTTCAGTGCCATTGTAATTTCAAATGGTCACTAAAGAAATTGTTGTAAGTTGAGGATTACATTTAAGCTAAAAAAAGCTCCTGAAGAATAAAGTCAGATATACTCTGACTTTATTCTCCAGGAGCTTTTTTTAGCTTAAATGCCAGGGTTTTGCTAATTAAAATAGGGGAAAGCAGGATTTATTGGATGGTGGATGCATTGGGAGCACAGGCATAGACATCTCCAGCAGGTCTACTACCAAACGAAAGATGCGCCTCCAGAAGTAGTTGCAATCCAGATTTAAAGAAGACTGAAAGCAGTAGAGCCAGGAAGCGAAGCTGAGGAAAATAACAAAGGGTGAATTTGCGAACCTTCTGAGACAGGACAAATGAATTGTCCATTTGTTGGATGAAGTAATAGGTTGTCTGTCCTGACATAGTTTACAGCAGACATGTCAAACACAAGGCCCAGGGGCCGGATGCGGCCCGCCAAGTGGTTTCATGTGGCCCACGAAGCCATCTTGGAAAAAGTGAGGGAACGGCCCCCACTGCCTTGGCCCTGGCCCAGGCCAGCCGGGAGCCAATGTACAATTTTGTGGTGGCCATCTTGGCATTTGCCCCGGTGGACCATGCCTTGGCACTTGCCCCGGTCCCTCCCCCTTCTGCCAGAGACTCTCAGATTTGTCCCACTCCTGCCCAGGCCCCCACAAGCACCCTTGACGCGAATGATGTAGAACTGGCCATGCCCACCCAGTAGGCCACATCTACTCCATCCATGCCCACCCAGTAGGATGCACCCACTCTGGCCACACCCACCCGTCCTCCCCAGGGCAACCGCAATGCTAATGCAGCCCTCAGTGAAATTGAGTTTGACACCCCTGGTTTGGAGCAAAGCTGACGCAGTTATTTTGCAATGTGGGGCAGAGAATTGAAGTGGCTGTTTCCCGTTTTGTCACTTAAGAGTGCCAGAAGGGACAGAGGCAAGTCCTAATTACGGTAAAACCGGGGGATTGCTGGCTGGGAAATTCGGAGAGTCTTAAAAAGTTGCTGAGGTTGAGAAACACTTCTCTGAACCAGTAAGTTTCTCAACCTCAGCATACTTAAACTGGGTGGACTACAACTCCCAGAATTCCCCAGGCAAGAAGCCAGCTAGGGAATTCTGGGAGTTGAAGTCCACACATCCTAAAGTTGCTAAGGTTGAAAAACACTGGTATATTGGCCTTGCAACACTCCTGATGTGTGCCTTGGTGCTGCTGGATAGCTTTGAAGGTTCCCCCCCCCCAGTTAAACTTTGGGGTTTTGTTGGTCTTTTCTCAGGTCTACCTCCTTGACACGTTTGGCTTGAAGACTCTGCATGCGCGTGGTGACATTGTTTTCTGCAAAATGGCCAATGTTTCTCACACGAACTGGCACGCCAACCGCACTGTGTATGATGCCTGCATTGCCAAATGGCTGACGTAGCTGGCCAAGCCTGGGAAAAGGAAAAGGAAGAGAGACTGTGTCCAAAAACTCGAGCTGCGTTCTCTGACCTCAACTTGGCATTTCTCCTCTCACAATGAAAAAATGTCATCTGCCTGTAACTTTTCTAGGATTTTTTTTTTTTTTCACAGCAGAAGGAACTTTTTCCCTGCAAGGCTCTTTGGTGGAAGCTAGTAGCAAATTTGGGTGCTCTTAAGATGCTGCCTGGAAGGCCTCAAATGAACTGGATCTTTAGTCCTTTGTTGCGGCTAAGCTACAAGACAAAACAAACAAACAAGCAAAAAAAGAAGACAAGAAGAACGTAAAAGGGTTGCGGTTACACTGTAATCAAATATACCCCAAAGTCCTATTTCCTAGCACCAAGAAACGTAATTAACTGTGGGAACTTCCAGGTTTCAACTCTGGTGTTTAGTGTCATTTTATCCCGTTTGGAAATGTTTTTTATTTGCATATATTTTTCATATTATAATAATGCAACAGCTATCCAGGACTCTGCTTAAAAGAGACCAGCCCAACTTTTGTGAGAATGAATTCAGGAAAAAAAATCTTACCATTTATTCCCTCAGTTAATTTGAGTTTTGTGCTCCAATTATTGCTTTGACTTTCACCGGAGGGGAAAGACAAGTAAATGTGTAAACTTTGATCCAGATTCCAGTTCCACGGCCCTAAAGAAAACGTCAGTGGAATGACAGAAAACTGAATAGCTCAGAGTTCCAGTTGGAAAGCGTATTTTTTCCCCCGTTTCTTTACAGAATCAAGCTGGAAATAGTTTAAGGATCCCTGCCTCCAGTTCTGCATCAAAATCAATATTATAAATTATCAATTGACTTTGGAGGGCAGAATGCATCAGTGTATATTTCCTCTCTCCTTAGAAGCACAACCTCAGGATGGCCAACGGAAAGCCAATTTAGACAAAAACGTTCATGATCTCGCTTTATTTTTTAAAAAAATGTGTATTTAAGAGTGACTAGCCATTTTTAAAAGACCAGAATGTCTAATAAGGTGACCTTTCTCCCTGTTTCTAGAGCAGGAGCCTCAGAGCTTTGTGTGCAAACAGTATTAAACCCTTACATTTTTTACCAAGTTACAATAGGATGTTTACATGGACTCAGGTTTAACTTTTAACATTAGATCAGGTATGAAGTTGGGGGGGGGAATGAGTTAAATTTAAGCTGAGACTTCAAGAGGATGCTTATCATTAGACACGAGATGTGTAAAGTATCTTTTGCCTTCCAGATGTTTCTGAACTAAAGTCCCAGATTCTGGAGGAGGCTGGCTGGGCTACTGCTGGTTTAGCAGCATCTGGAAGCTTACAGCTGTGTACTTCATGTAGAAAGTCCTTGCAAATGGAGTCGGCAACCTTCTTACAATGAAGACAGTTCTTTAGGGGAGGGGTTTGCAACCTGTGCGCCATGGCCCACTACTGGTCCATGGCCTATTTGTAACCGGGCGTTGTGAGTGTCCAGGTGCTCATGGCCCCACTCACGCGAGTGTTGCAGGCGCTCATGGCCCCACGCGCACGAGCATCGTGGGTGCTTGGGGCCCCACTCACGTGAGTAATGGGTGCTTGTGCACGTGCATGCACGTGCATATAGACCTGTCCCTCCCACAAAACCATCCCCTCTTCCCCCCCCTCCTCCCCCACCAGGCTTCCCCCCCTCCCAGAAAGATTGGGGAACTTTGCTTTAGGGGAGGCAATACAGAATGTGACACACACATATCTGTAGTTTAAAGTGATATAATCCTGTTACTTGAAAAGGTTGGGTTTGTAGTTTCTCCTCTGAAACCCCCTTTCACATATTTCCAGCTGCCTTCTATCCTTCATAAGGACCAGTCATTACGGTTTGTGAACTCTGGTTTGTGGCTTAACTGTGAGCTACTAGAGTTTCTGTCCACACACTTTTGGCTTTGGGTATCCCCGAATTCTCTATTTTGCTTGCTTAAGAGAAAGTGACACAATTGAGTTGCCTCCCAGTAAACAAAGCAGTCCACAAACTTGACACAGGAGGATTAGAGATGTGTCAGTCTATGGAACCAGAAGCACTTGTGACTTTTTGATGCACTCTAGCAAGCTGGGATCAGGTTTTCAGGGGGGAAAAAGCTTTTGAGAGAAAACTCTGGCAATCAAACAAGAAACTCGCAAGTATCAGCCCCATTTTTTTTTTTTTTTTTTTTTTTTTTTGCTTTGAATGCTGGAACAAAGCATTGTTCAACATCTCTCCATACAAGGGTGGGCAATTATCTCAAACTGTTTGGGTGAGGCAGGATATCTGAAGAAGTGTTCCTCATTTTGTTGATTCCAGCAAAAAAAGTTGGGTGTTCAGATATACCTGCTAATTTGCTACAGGTAGCCCAGAAAACAAGCAATTCATCCCAATCCATTTTCTTCCCAAGGCCGTTCCTTCATACATACCTACAAAAATGTACAGAGAGCCAGGTTGGTTTAGTGGTTAAGGCACCACGCTAGAAACTAGGAGGCCCTGAGTTCTAGTGCTGCCTTAGCCACGAAAGCCGGCTGGGTGACCTTGGGCCAGTCGCTCTCTCTCAGCCCAACCCACCTCACAGGGTTGTTGTGGGGAAAATAGAAGGAATAAAGTGTATTTATATATGTTTTCCACCGTGGGTTATTTATAAAAATAATAAAGGTGGGAAGTAAATAAATCTCCACATTCACTCTGTACTGCATGTGTCAAAATGCTTGGTTACTGTTAGTCTGGGCACTTACCCTAGAACGGGTCGGCAGCCTTAAACACTCAAAGAGCCACTTGGACCTATTTCCCACAGAAAACACTGGAAGCTGCAAAACTTGTAGGTGCATGCGTGCGTGTCAGAGGGGGGGGCTTGATTGAAGAGTTTAATTAAAAAGAAATAAAGGCTGCTGTCTATTTCTCTCCCTCTCTCTCTCCCTCTTTCTCTTCCTCCCCCCCTCTCCCCCTCTCTCCAATCTTCTACTCATCTGGCCTGACGCTGTTCTCCAACAAGCTGACAGACATTCTTATTGGGCTGGCTCTCTCCTGCCCTTGGTCTGCCAGTCCTCTTCTTCCACTCGGTGTGAGTGTGTGTGTGTATGTGTGTGTGTGAGAGAGAGAGAGCTGATTTCTGCTGCTTCCTGTGGAGACACAGCAAAAGCAGGAGCCCCGCTCAATAAGCTTGTCAGCTTGTCGGAGAACAGCATGAGGCCACTCTCTTTTTTACACACGCACACACATACACACACACAGAGAGAGAAGGGAAGCGCAAGTGCCTCCCCTCTCTGCAAATGACGGAGGAGGCTGGGAGCCACAGGAGAAGGCTCAAAGAGCCCCATGTGGCTCCGGAGCCGTGGGTTGCTGACCCGTGCCCTAGAAGTATGTCAAAAAATGTCAATCTTGTTAAGTCTTCAAATTGGCAAGGATAATGCAGATGAATTGTGGCTTGACTGGGGTACAAATTACTTTTAGTTATTATTTGATGCATAGAATAATAGAATTGGAAGGGACCTTGGAGGTCTTCTAGTCCAACCCCTGCTCAAGCCAGAGTTTTGCCCCACTTTACGAACTTTCTCGCTACCCTCGTTAAGGGAATTGCTGGAGTGGTTCAGTTAGTAACATGGTTATTAAGTGAATCTGGTTTCCCTACTGACTTTGCTTGTCAGGTTATGAAAGGTGATCCCATGACCCCTGGACACTGCAACCATCATAAATGTGAGTCAGTTGCCAAGCATCTGAATTTTGATCACGTGACCGTGGGGGTGCTGCACTGGTTTTGTGAGAAAGTCGTAAGTCTAAGTCGCTTTTTTCAGTGCTGTTGTAACTTCAGCCACTAAATGGACTGTTGTAAGTCGAGGACTACTTGTATTATAAAACTACATCGTAAGTTGTAAGTTAGGTCAGTCCTTAATGACCAATCCAGAACCTCCTTCATCAGAACTACGCTATACATGCAAATATGGAAGGTACAACTCATGTTCCATTTCCAAATCTCCAAGTACCTTAAGAGCATCCTGGCTCCGTGTCCCAAGGTTGCGGCTCAACAAAACAGCTCCTTTTTTCTTGTCACATTTTGTGGAAGACAAACCCTCACCCACACAAACACAAAAAAGGGTGTGTGTTTAAAATACAAATAAAAGTTGCAATGGTTTTTGGTTAGAGGTGGGGCAATTGCAAAATTTTCCAGAATCTGGATGTTGAATGTTTTTCAGCGCATTGTTCCTGTCAGAATCCAATTATATTTCATCTCTAGTTCTCAATTATAAAAAACCCCATTTCTGCCTTCTATGGATTCTGCCATACGATGAAGGGAAGGGGGTGAACAAAGGGGCTTTATGGCCCTCACTTCCTTCGGTACACTTCAAAGGAGCTGATTGTGTGTATTGCCAAAAGAGCTAACCATAAGAATGGAGCTGTTACCTTTCATGTAGTTTTCTTTGAAGTCTCCATCCAGCTGGCAGAAAGGAAAAGGGGGTGGGATTGTAATGCCTGAAATTGTCGCTGGAAGAGGGGGGTGATTGGGTGGGACTACTGGGGAACCCCTTAAAACCTTGAATGGGAGAGCTTGGACCCCAAGTCCTGTCTAGAACGCCTGCAACCATTTTCTCTTAAGAAAGGATGCCTGTTGGAAGAATTATTCCAAGAGTTCTGTCTTCTTAAGATGCAAAGTGGGGTGGGCCCTTACAGTTCCGGTGAAGGGATTCAAATATGTGAACAACCGTTTCTTTGTGTGGATGCTGCTTCCGGAAGTCTGTTCTGGGCCTGGGCAACAAAAAATTAGCTACCGGTTGTGCCGAAGTGGTGCGAACCAGCTGAACTCCACCACTGCATTGTTCCACAATTATCCCAAAGACGCTTTTTTTCATGAGGCAATTGGACTTTTCTTGTTTTTCTTTGAAGACGTTTCGTTTCGCTTCTCATCCAAGAAGCTTCTTCAGCTCTCTTAAGCTTCTTGGATGAGAAGCCAAACGTCTTCAAAGAAAAACCAGACAGTCCAGTTGCCTCGTGAAAAAAAGCATCTTTGGGATAACTATGACCTGGATGACACAGAATCTCCATAGACATTGTTCCACGATGTAGTCACTCCTTTTGCCTCCCAAAGTGCTGGGATGGGGAGAAAACTCTTTGTTCCTGAGTAGACCATTTGTTTTGTTTTTCTCCTGGAAAGGCCACCCTTCCCTCTTTGAGCTTTGCTTGCCAGGCATCGCCCTTGGCAGGCTTCCCACGACCCAAAGGCTGCCCCTAAACCACAGGTTTTACGCAGCAGGCTGGGCCTCAAAAGCACGCCCCGACGGCTTTGCACAGCTGCAACCGGTGTCAATAGGCAGGGTGGAGGCCGAGGGCGCGACGTGGCAGGAACCAGCCTGTCTTCAGGTGAGCAAGGCTCTAGTCCTCGCCACTTTCAGATCTGGCGGCGCGGCTCCCTCTGGTGGCGCATCCGGGAACTGCTAGCTGTGCGTCCATACTACCAGACTCCCCACCGAAAGGGGAAAAACTGTCGCCAGATCCACCCTGCAAAACTCCGGGCCGCCTCTAAATGGCAAGCAAGATCGTGCAGAAAACTCATCTGGGCTCCCTAAAGTAGGCAGCCCGGCGCCCCGCCACTGTGCTCGCTGCGGAGCTCAAGATCCTGCCCCGATCTCAAGGCTGCTGGGCAAATCGTTGCGCCGCTCAGCTCAGGCACGAAATCTTTTCCCTACAAGCGTTCACACGACCCTCGAAGGGGCTGGTTACCTTGCAACCCGCTCCGCCAGGCGGCCCGGAGGCGCAAGGCAAGCGGACGAGGGAAGGGACGGAAAGGGGCGTTTAACCGGGACGAGCCTCGCAGGCAAGAAGAAGCGGAGCAGCAGACGGCGAAAAACGGGGCTCTTTCTGAAAATACAGCTCGATCTTGCAGGGAGAGCCCCCCCCCCCCGCGGGAGAGGGATCAGCTGGGATCCAAGATCCGAGGAACTTGGCGCTAGTTAGGATTTTCTCCCGAAGTTTGCTAAAATCCGGAAGTGAGGCTCCAGGGCGCCTGTGGTTTTCGACTTGCGGGAGGGTTAAGAGTTCAGACCGGGAATCCCTTCAGACCACTCTGATCTTCTCGCCGAGGGCGGGGTGGAGCGATCCCGTTAAAGTGATCGCTTCGGAGAGAGTCCGGGGCCCGCCACGGGCGAGCGTGAGTCAGGTGCAGCTTGTTACAGCAATGTGAGTTTTCCCGGGTGGATTTTGGATTTGGATTTGGATTTGCAACAGGAGGTGGCGTGACTACAGTTTGTGGAGATGCACCTTAAAAAATGCACGCACGCACACACACCAACTGTGCATTTTAAGATGCATCTCCCAAAAACTGTTTTCGAGAGCTTCGGGGGGAGGCCGTTTGCAAACAGAATAATTGGTGGAGCAGAGGTTTTGTTCTGGGTATTTGATGCACCGAGTAAGGGTCTGATAATGCGGGGAGATAAAGAGCCAAGATTACAAAGAAGTAACCTTTTTGTATCCTGGACCGTGTAGGTGGGCGAGAAGCAGTGCAAAACTTCTGGCCCCTCCCCGTACCTGCAAGGAGAGGGTGGTGGTTGTTAATTGGGAAGTCGTGTCCGACTCATCCTGACCCCATGGACAACGTTCCTCCAGGTCTTCCTGACCTCTACCATCTTCTGGAGTCCATTCAAGCTCACACCTACTGCTTCAGTGACTCTATCCAGCCACCTCATTCTCTGTCGTCCCCTTCTTCTATTGCCCTCCATCTTTCCCAGCATTAGGCCCTTCTCCAGTGAGTCCTTCCTTCTCATTAAGTGGCCAAAGTACTTGAGTTTCAACTTCAGGATCTGGCCTTCTAAAGAGCAGTCGGGGTTGATCTCTTCTAGGACTGACCGGTTTGATCTCCTTGCAGTCCAGGGGACTCGCAGGAGTCTTCTCTAGCATCATAGTTCAAAGGCCTCAATTCTTTGGCGTTCAGCCTTTCTTATGGTCCAACTTTCACAGCCATACATTGCAACTGGGAAAGAGAGGGTAGAAAGCCCAAAGGGAGGCTCTCCGCTTATCCAAGGAGAAACCCTTCCCTCCGCCCCCCCCCTTGGGAGGCGGAGCTTCTGAGCCAGGTGTGCTCTGATTGCCTGCCCTTTGCTTTGAGTGGAGTGGCCGAAGGGCAGGAGAAAGGTAAGGGGAAGAAGTTGCAGCCGACAAGGGAGACACCCCCCCTCTCCAGGGAATGCCTTCCCAAACTGGGGAGTAGGAACGGAGTTTCAGTGGGCGAGGGCTTCCTTCTTCTTCAGCCCTTCTTGGTATGCTCAAAGTCCAGCCCAAGAAGTTTGCTGTAAGCTGGTCTCCCCGGCTCCGCTTCGGAGGCCCAAACCCTGGTTTGCAAATTGCACGTCGAAGGGACCCAGTGGGATTTGTGGCAACTCCCTAGCAAAGGCTGAAAGGTGACATGGCTGGGCAGGAGGACCAAACGCCCCGACTTAGCATCTGGTTCTTCCTGTTTCTGAATCTGGGCAGGGCTGAGAACAGGAAAGTTGTATTCTGAGGAGAGAAGTACACCAGTCCGGTGGCTAGCAGATTGCTCCAGGCCAGCTGGAAACGGTGCAGGGTTACCTGCTGATTTGGGAGGTTCTGGGGTTTGGTCTGTAAAGATGTAGGGTGGGGTGACACAAACTCATGTGATTGGAAGGCTTTTTAGCTTTGTTGAATTTTAATGCGGTTGATAGCGTCATTTACCTCGTATTTGTGGAAATGTGCCTGATTCTATCATTTTTAAACTGGAGCATGACCCATGGGGGTCTTCTCATCAAAATAAGACAAGGTCATGCCTCTCTCTCCCCCCTCCTTCCCTCTCTCTCCCTCTCCCCTCCCTCTCTCCCCCCTCTCTCCCTCTCTCCTTCCCCTTCTCTCCCTCTCCTTCCCCCTCTCTCCCTCCCCCCTCCCTCCCTCTTCCTCTCCTTCCCTCCCTCTCCCCTCCCTCTCTCCTCTCCCTCCCTCCCTCTCTCTCCCTCTCCTTCCCCCTCTCCCTCTCCCCTCCCCCTCCTTCCCCCTCTCTCCCTCTCCTTCCCTCTCCCCTCCCTCTCTCTCTCTTACACACTCACTCCTTACCCTTATCAGTTTTGTAAACATTGTTGCATGCAAACATTTATGAGAGTGAACCAACCCTATGTAATTCCTTCTGTCTATTGATCTTTTTCTTCAAGCCTCATATAAATCGATTACCATCTGCCTCCTTGCTTCGTGATCCAAGTGGGACTTCCTTGTCTATCGTTGTGCTCTCCAGAGACACCTCTCTGCCCACTTGGATTCTGGGCCAGTGGCTCATCTGAAAATGCCGGTTCTCCCTTTGAAGCTTGCATGTCCTAGATCAGGGGTAGGCAACCTTGGCTCTTTTATAACTCGTGGACTTCAACTCCCAGAATTCCTGAGCCAGCATGGCTCAGCTTGGAAACCTCTCCCTTTCCCCTCAGCTTGGCTGGCTCAGGAATTCTGGGAGTTGAAGTCCATGAGTCATAAAAGAGCCAAGGTTGCCTACCCCTGGTCTAGGTACTTGCCTGACCCAGACAGCGTTTCAGAGGAAGGAAAAGGACAAAAGCTTTTCTATTTTTGCCCTGTGTTTCCCACCCTGTGTAATTATTATATCTATAAGACCTGGAACAAAATCACAGCATAGAATATTGCTTAATCTTTTAAAGCATGTTTTTATGCTTTTTGCTTCTCGCAGGTCAGGCACAATTGGTTTGACTGAATTCATTTTGGGGGGGGGGGAAGAGGAGATCCCCACTTTCGTTTTTCCAGATTATTTTGCTTGCTTGCTGTTTTCTCAAACTTCCTTCTTGTCCAGAATTTTCTGGTTTTGGTTCTGTGAAGATCCACCTTTGGAGAATCAGTTTTGTAGTGTAAGGTGGGAAGATTCGCAGTGGGAATCTGTGGTTGTCTGTTTTTTTCTTGGTTCATGTTGCGTACCTGCAGAGATCTACAGAGAGTGTTCAAAAAAGGTCAAGAAGGCAGCCATGATGGTTTAATAAAAGCTCCACCCATTTCTGCCTATGTGCAATGCATGGGTGGAGCTTCAGTCCTACCATTGTGGTTACCGTCTTCATTTTTTTGACCACCCCTTGGGGACACCTTTGTGTACATGACTATGGTGGGAAACAACACGTATAAATTTGTTCTTCTTTCTTGAATCAGCTTTTCTAACTGGAACTGATTTTGCATTTACTTATAAAGAAAGAGAAAGTAGTTCCAGGATAAAAGCAGAAAAGAAATGTACTATAAGTTTGAACTATCTGGAATGGTCCAAGGGCAAAACAGCAGGAGGAAGAAAGAATATTAAGTACGTTTGCCACCTTGAGCTAGTTATAAAATAATAACTAGTAAAAATCTAATAAATAATACAAGTGATAAAATATATTTCTTTCAGTTATGCAAGCCCTGCTTTTCAATCCATTCTTTTCCAAAGTGTCTATAACAGTGGTTCTCAACCTGTGGGCTGGGACCCCATTTGGGGTCGAACGACCATTTCACGGGGGTCGTCAAACAACGCAGTCCGCCATTTTTTCCCCCTTTTCCTTAGCTGTGCTACTCCCTTTTATTCTATTGGCTTTTGAAAGCCCATAGAATAGACTCTCTTGAATAGAGTCTAATTCTATGGGCTTTCAAAAGCCAATAGGAATTGTCCAGGCTGTCTCTGCCCTGCTGAGCCCGCCAAAAGTCCCATTCTGCAAACGGTGCTGCAAGTTGTCTGCAGCGAAGGCGAGCTGTCTGGAAGTTTCCACCCCTCCCTGCTGAGCAACTACTAAAAATGTAAGTAAAAGAGGGCCAGGGGTGGGAGGTGGGAGGCCGGCGGGCGCAGGGAGGGTTGCTGGCACGCGTGGGGCCCAGTGGGTGCCTTACCTCCTTTGGGCTGGGCCAGCTGGTGGCCCAGCCGGTGGTCGGCCTGCGCCGTCTCTGCCGCTTGCCAGCTACGCCTCGGCCGGTGCAAGGGGCGGCACCACACATGCGCGGTGCTCCCGGGCAGGGAAAGTCCTCGACTTATGACCGGTTGGGTAGTCCTCGACTTACAACCGGTTGGGTAGTCCTCGACTTACGACCTGTTGGGGTCGTGGCATTAAAAAGGTTGAGAACCACTGGTCTATAATATTAAAAAAAAAAATCCTGCAGTGATCAAGTTCAATGGGAGGGAGGGAGGGAGGGGAAGGAGGAGGAGGAAGGGAGGGGGGAGAGAGGAACAGGGAGGAGGGAGGGGAAGGAGGAGAAAGAATGTTAGGGAGAGAAAAGAAGGAGGAAAGGTAGGAAGGGAAGGAAGAAAGGAAGGAGGAGAAGGAAGACGTTAGGGAGGGAGAGAGGGAGGGGGGATGGAAAGAAGGAAGGAAAGGGAGGGAGGGAAGGAAGGAAGAAGGAAGAAATTGGGAGGAAGAGAGGAAAGGAAGGAAGGAAAAGGAAAAAAATTGTGGAGGGAGGGGAAGGAAAGGAAAGGGGAAGGGAAAGAATAAGGCAATTGTAAGCATAAAAATTTCCCTGAAATATGTTATAGGTTAAAAAAATTGGTTGTTTTAGGAAAGACATCCCTGCTAATATAAAGGGGAGGAAAAGCTGGAAATGAATGTTGCTTTTTAAAGTAATACTTTTCATCCACATTTTTAATAAACTACCTCAGGGGTGTCAAACTCAATTTCATTGAGAGCCGCATCAGCATTGTGGTTGCCCGGGGGGGGGGGGGACAGGTGGGTGTGGCCAGGTGGGTGCGGCCTACTGGGTGGGTGTGGCCAGGGTGGGTGCAGCCTACTGGGTGGGTGTGGATGGAGTGGGTGTGGCCTATTGGGTGGGCATGGCCAGCTCTACATCATTCCGTCAATGGTGCCTGTGGGAGCTGGGCAGGAGTGGGACAGATCTGTGGGTCTCTGGCAGAAGGGGATGGGACTGGGGCAAGTGCCAAGGAATGGTCCACCAGGGCAAGTGCCAAGATGGCCACCACAAAATTGTACATTGGCTCCTGGCTGGCCTGGGCCAGGGCCAAGGCAGAGGGGGCCGTTCCCTCACTGTTTCCAGGATGGTTTCGCAGGCCACATGAAACCACTTCGCGGGCCGCATCCGGCCCCCGGGCCTTGTGTTTGACATGTCTGATCTATATTAAGCTTGCGCCAGTGTAATTTATATTTGGGACAATTTTGTGGCTTTGTTTTGTTTTGAAGAGAACAAAACAAGCCCAAAAAAGTTACTGCTAAGATAAACTAAAGCATAAACAAAGCACCCATATAATGTTAATGTACAACTATGTCTTGTGACATGTTATTAAATCTAGACTGTCTAGAAACCTAATCTTCTCCTCTCTTCAGTTAAAAAAAACAACAACATGTCAGTGGGGTGTCCTTAAGGGCAAGTCTTAAGCCCTGTTCGTTAAGTCTTAAGCCCTGTTCGTTTAATGAGTCATTGAGTTTATCTTGCGATCCTCATTTTTATATTAGGAACAGGGGTGTGTTCCAGATTGGCTTTCAAATGTACAGTTGTTTTCTTTAGGGCTTCTTAAAAGGCACAGTCCAAGAAAAGCATTCCTTTTTTTAATTATTATATATTATGTTTCATGAACAGGAATAAATGCAAAACAGAGAAAACAGGAAAACATACATACAACAACAACAAAAAATCTGTACCATAAAAAAAGACCCAAACATCAAATAAGTTTAACACTGAACATACAAAAAATTCCATCCTGGCTGGATGCTGGAAAGAAAATCAAAGAAACCTGATAAATTCTCTTCCCCTTATATAACAGGTCTACAGATGATTACAGGTAGTCCTCGATATACAACAGTTCATTTAGTGACCGTTCGAAGTTGGCACTGAAAAAAGTGACTTAAGATGGTTTTTCACACCACCACTGCAACATCCCCAGGGTCATGTGATCAAAATTCAAAGGCTTGGCAATCGGCTCATATTTATGACGGCTTCAGTGTCCCAAAGTCACCCTTTGCGATCTTCTGACAAGCAGTCAATGAGGAAGCTAGATTCTTTTAACAACCGGGTTACTAACTTACCAACTGCAGTTTAAGAACTGAGGCAAGAAAGGTCGTAAAATGGGGCAAAAATCACTTAACTGTTGTCTCACTTAACAATATAAATGTTGGGCTCCATTTGGTGTTAAGTTGAGGACTACCCATATAAGCTTTCTCATCCGTATTTAACAAGAAAAATACATAAACAAATATTTCAAATGAGGAGATCTCTTATCTAATAATTTTTTGCTTTCATAATCAGAACTTTTTCCATGCTATTGTCACAATTCCCACTTCTGCCACCAGAAAAAAGGTGTCCTGAGGCTGCAATCTTTTACACTAATCTACTCCTACTTAGTCCTCTCTGGATGTGTAGGGATTACATATCCCAGTATTCCCAGCCAAAATGAAATAGTCACAGTAAATCAAAGTTTTCAGTGGGTTGTGGTCCTAACACATTTCAAGGTACCCTGTTGGGAATACAGGTAGCCCTCGACTTAATGACCACAATTGAACCTAAATTTTCTGTTGCTAAGAGAGTAAATGAGTTTTGCTCCATTTTATGGCCTTTCTTTTTTTTATTGAAAAGTTTTATAAAAATTACAGTATACACCCCAAAACCCACTCACCCTAAACCCCCCCTCTCCCTCCCCCACTTCCCAGAGCTGAGTACAGGGTTACAAATATAATAATCAAACTCTAACTAACATTAACCAACTATATAAACAAGTCCATAATGCGCTTTAACTCCCCTTTAACAAGTATAAACAAATTAAAAATAAACATAATAATATAAACAAGTCAATATTATTAAACAATACAATATCCAAATTGTTAAACAATACTAATACTAAAAATAATAATAAAACTAATAAAAATTCAACTATAATAAACTATTAATAATAATAATACTCTAAAATTTACTCATAAACTAAATGGTCCCATATTTATTCTGAATATGATCTATCCATCTTCTGCAGACCGAAATGTATCTTTCTTGTGAATGATCCTTCAAGTAAGCAGAAATTTTCGCATTTTATGGCCTTTCTTGTCACAGTTGTTAAGTGAATCACTGCAGCTGTTAAGTTAGTAACACGGTTGTTAAGTGAATCTGGGTTCCCCATTGATTTTGCTTGTCAGAAGGCCGCAAAAGGTGATCACATGACCCCGGGACACTGAGGCCGTCATAAATATGAGTCAGTTGCCAAGCATTCGAATTTTGATCACATTACTATTACTATGGAGATGCTGCAACAGTCATAAGTGTGAAAGTCATAAGCAAAGTCAATGGGGAAACCGGATTCACTTAACAACTATGTTACTAACTTAATCACAGTAGTGATTCACTTAACAACTGTGGCAAGAAAAGTCAAAACTCACTTGACAATTGCAGGTGGTCCTCAATTTACGACCACAACTGAGCCCAAACTTTATGTTGCTAAGTGAGAAATTTGTTAAAGTGAGTTTTGCCCCATTTTACAACTTTCCTTGCCACAATTGTTAATTAAGTGGATCACCGCAGTTGTTAAATTAGTAACACCGTTGTTAAATGAAACTCACCTTCTGCATTGATTTTGCCTGTCAGAAGGTCGCAAAAGCGGATCATGTGACTCTGGGACACTGCAGCCGTCATAAATGTGAACCAGTTGTCAAGCATCTGAATGTAAATCAGGTGACCATGGGGATGCTGCTGTGGTCATATGTGCGAAAAATGGTCATAAGTCACTTTATTTCAGTGCCGTTGTAACTTTGAACGGTCGCTAAACAAAATATTGTAAGTTGAGGACTACATATATGAGAATGATCATTTGAGGCCATGAGGTTTGTAAGACCAACCTGTAGGATTGGCCCGTTCTCAGATATTTTGGATCCATCTCAACAATTCTTGATATGGCAATACCCAAACTGTAGCGCTCAGCTGCTCCGCCAAGCTATATTTTCTCTCTACACTGACCCCCAGCTGAAATAAACATTACAGATAGTCCTCAATTCACAACAATTCACTTAGTGACAGTTCGAAGTAACAATGGCACTGAAAAAAGTGACTTATGATTGTTTTTCACATTTACGACCGTTGCAGCATCTCTATGGTCATGTGATCAACAGCTGCTTGGCAACTGACTCATATTTATGATGGTTGTAATGTCCCAGCGACATATGATCATCACCTTCTAACAAGCAAAGTCAAGGGGGAAGTCAGATTCACTTAATGACCGTTCTACCAACTTAACAACCGCAGTGATTCACTGTGGCAAGAAAGGTCATAAAATGGGGCGAATTCATTTCACCACTGTCTCACTTAGCAACATAAATTTTGGGCTCAGTTGTTGTAAGTCAAGGACTATCATTCTTTAAGGAATCTCACTGCAGATGTAGATAGCATATGCCATCATGCCAAAGCTTGTAAATATTCTTAAGATTTCTTATTAATACTGTATATGAAACAGATTTATCACCGTTCGGAACTCCCTGGGTCCATGGAAGTCTGAGGAAAAAATTGAAAATAAAAGATTGCTTTCTTTTCCACTTCCAGCCCTTCCGAATCCCATGGAGAGCCCCAACAATTTATGCCGCCTTTGTGGCTCCGGGCTGCGCGGGAATCATCGGCGGTGGCTTTTCAGCCGGAGCAGTAACAGCTCGCGCCCTGACCTGCTGGTGATACTGTCCTATGTCCTCGACCGAGAGCTTCCCCAGCGTGGAGATGGGCGCGGTGAATTCCTCTGTGGGAAGTGCGCCCAGGCCTTGGGGCGGGTGTACCATTTCGACACTGTCATTGCCCGGGTTAAAGCTCTCTCCATTGACCGCCTTCAGCGCCTGCTTTCGGAGAAAGACCAGTTGGCCCGCTCTCTGCGCCACATCTACACGCGGCGGTTCCCAGATAACGGGGCCTCCGTGTCCTACACGGGCCAAGAGATCTCAGCCAGTATAGCGGATTTGCCCCAAGTACAGTACCAGCGCCTCCTGCAGGACGATATGGCCCTGTCTGAATATGAGTGTTGGGCTGACACCCCAGACAGCAGCCAGCCGGGCACCCCGTGTCGGAACCGCCAATGTCGCAGCTGCCACGGGCTGAGGGTAGATGACAACAATTACGAGTGGGTGTGCCGGACACCGAGACGGCTGGGAACGTGGTCCCCTGTCTTCTCCCTCTGCCGGGATAAGTCGCAGAGCATGCCCACCATGTACTGCGCTGGCTCCCAGGCCTCTCTGCGATCCCAGAGCTTGGGGGACGTCGAGTGTTGTTCAATGCTATCGTTGGACACTTTGCCGGAATCGGAACTAGCCTGGGAAGCACTGAAAAACCTGAAGGAGATTAGAAGGAAGAGGCTGAAGGTCCCGTTGGGCAGTAAGATCCCTGTCCTGGTGGGGAACTGGCGTGGGGCTATTCCGCAGAGAGAGAGCCCGGTGGGAGAAGAAGCCTACGAGGAACTGGTAGATGAGTTTCTGCCTCTTAAGCCAAAGGTAAGAGCCACAGAGAGGAAAGGTGGGATTAGCTGAGTTCAGGCATTATCCTAACTAGGGGTAGGCAACCTTGGCTCTTTTATGACTCGTGGACTTCAACTCCCAGAATTCCTGAGCCAGCATGGCTCACCTTGGAAACCTCTCCCTTTCCCCTCAGCATGGCTGGCTCAGGAATTCTGGGAGTTGAAGTCCATGAGTCATAAAAGAGCCAAGGTTGCTACCCTGTCCTAAGCTGTGGTGTGTTCTAACCACCATGTGTTCTACAGAGAGTCCTCAACTTACAGCCATTTGTTTAATGATGGTTCGAAGTTATAATGACACTGAAAAAAGCGACTTATGACCGTTTTCCACACTTACGAGCATTGTGGCATCCCTTTAGTCACATGATCAAAATTCAGACGCATGGCAACTGGTTCATATTTATGACAGTTGCGGTGTCCTCCAATCATATTACTTTTGCAACCTTCTGACAAGTAAAGTCAGTGGGGAAGCCGGATTCACTGAACAACTGTGTTACTAACTTAATAACAGTAGTGATTCACTTAACACTGTGGTCATAAGTATGAAAAATGGTCCTAAGTCACTTTTTTCAGTGCTGTTGTAATTTTGAACTGTCACTAAACGAACTGTTGTAAGTTGAGAACTACCTGTATCTTCCTTAACAGCAGAAAGTTTGGGCTTAATTGTGGTTGTAAATCAAGGACTATCTGCCTTGGTTTTGGACATCCTGCAGAGCTGGAGTTTCTGAGACATAGCGATGGGCGTTTGTGCATTCCACAAAGCCACAATGAAACAAATGATATTAAGGCTGAACTTGGGAGGTGACCTCAGCTGTAAAGTTTCCATTCAGCCTTCAGTCTTCCTTTCCTGAGAAAGGACAAAATGACGTTGGGACAGCTTCAGCCATGGTGGAAGATGCACTTCACTTTCACAAGCCTCCTTTGGTGTCAGACTGATAGGTGACCTTCCTTTCTTCACGTCTTATCATGGCTGAGGATGTTGGGACTTCGTCTGCAGAGGTGTCCACAGGGGAAGCCAAAATGGCTGGTGCATCCATGCAGGCAAAGCCTGTCCTTTTCTGGCATCCAGGTGACATCTGCGTTTCCCATTAAAAATAGGTGGGGCTACAATTGCTCAGGGTGCCTGCCATCTTGGTTTTTGCCCCCTAATGGCTACATCATTGTATTGGGCTGGAGCCTAGGTGTGTCCATGCCCTATCTGAAGAGCACCATTGGCAGAAAAAGAGGAGTGTTTGGGGAATTCTGGGAGTTGAAGTGCATACATCTTAAAGAGGCCAAGGTTGAGAAACCCTACTCTAAAGGAGATCACATGGACACTTGTCGCTGACAACTCAAGGGTGAAGGAGGTGGGAATGAAATGAACTCAGAAAGGACCCTTGTGAGGCATAAACAGAAGATTGTCTCTGTTACCAGAGACTGGGCTGGATAATAAAAGCAAGGCTGGCTAGGGAATTCTGGGAGTTGAAGTTCACATACCTTAACATTGCCAGAGTTGAGAAATACTGGCTTAGAAATTCAGCCCTATCTAAGCTCTTGAGTTAGAAACCAGCAGAGGTGGGGAATCGGAACTCCAGGCAATCTCAGATGTTCTACAACCTATTGGAAGTCTAATTTATGAATGAATGTCTAGTCCAGAGGTAGGCAACCTTGGCTCTTTTATGACTCGTGGACTTCAACTCCCAGAATTCCTGAGCCAGCCTGGGTCAGCTTGGAAACCTCTCCCTTTCCCCTCAGCATGGCTGGCTCAGGAATTCTGGGAGTTGAAGTCCACGAGTCATAAAAGAGCCAAGGTTGTCTACCCCTGGTCTAGTCTAATGAAAAAAAGGACTAGGGGTGACATGATAGTGTTCCAATATTTGAGAGGTTGCCACAAAGAAGGGGGAGGGTCAACCTATTTTCCAAAGCACCCGTGGGCAGGACAAGAAGCAATGGATGGAAACTAACCAATCAGAGAACCAACTTAGAACTAAGGAGAAATTTCCTGACAGTGAGAAAAATTAAACAGTGGAATGACTTCCCTCCAGAAGTTGTGGGTGCTCCCATCACTGGAGGCTTTTAAGATGAGATTGGACAACCGTTTGTCTGAAATGGCATAGGGTCTCCTGCTTGAGCAGGGCATTGGACTAGGTGACCTCCAAGGCTTCTTCCAACCCTTATTTTGTTCTCTAATTCTGTCTTTCCCAAAGCTCCAGCTTCAGCAGTCTCTGCACCAGGACCTCCAAAGATCTTTTGATAATTTGAAGGAACTCCTTGAAACAGCCAAGGGAGAGCTGAAAAGCTTTCAGGAGAAACAAGGAGAGGCACCCAACCAGGTAAGACTTCAAGTCTTCCTTGTCTCCTTTATTAAGCAGTGCCTCCCAAGTAACTGGTGCCACCCGAGGGTAGATAAATTGACCCCCCAACCCCTGGATCCCCCTGTTTGGCTCAGAACATCCCCATTCGTTTGCTCCAGCAGCAGATTAGTTTCACACCCCAAAAACTGGGCTGGTGCAGGTTGACAGAGAACTAGTCCAGCCCCTGTGCTTAAGGGGGCATTTATTTATTTATTTATTTATTTGTGAGACTTATATACCGCTTTAAGTGCAAGCACTCTCTAAGCGGTGTACACCAGTAAGCAATGTATATATATATATATTTACATTGCCCCCAACAATCTGGCTCCTCATTTTACCTACCCGGTAGGATGGAAGGCTGAGTCAACCTTGAGCCGGTGAGATTTGAACCGCTGACCTGCTGAACACAGTCAGCTAAAGTGGCCTGCAGTACTGCACTCTAACTGCTGCGCCACCTCGGCTTATGCTTGTGTAACCTTATTCTGCCCACCACCACACCTCCTTTTTAACCTGTTCCAGATGTGTTTAAAGAGCCATATCTGATTGGCTAAAAAGGTAAAGGTCTCCCTGTCCGTCATCTTTGTTTCTTGGCCGAGGGAGCCAGTGTTGTCTGAAGACAATTTCCGCGGTCACGTGGCCAGCATAGCTATCCACCAAAGGCTCACCGAACACTGTTACCTTCCCACTGAAGTGGCACCTATTAATCTACTTGCATTTGCATTCTTTCTAATTGTTAGGTGGGCAGGAGCTGAGGCGTGTAACGGGAGCTTACCCCGTTGCGTGGAGCTCAGGTCTCGAACCCGTTTAAGTCAGAATTAAAGTGGCAGAGGAAGGAAGACGCTGTGACTTGTTTAACCAAAGCCTGGTTTGTGCCTTCCTCTTGTCGGTAATGCCAACTGATTGTGATGGGCTTAGCCTTAGATCAGAGTTTCCCAAACTTGACAATTTTAAGGCATGTGGACTTCAACTCCCAGAATTCCACAGCCAGCGTTGCTGGCTGTGGAATTCTGGGAGTTGAAGTCCACATGCCTTAAAATTGTCAAGTTTGGGAAACACTGCCTTAGATGAAAGAAGAAGGAGGCAGAGGAGTATAAGCCAGGATCCTGGATACAGATGTAAGGATAGGTTGTGATTAAAGCAAGAGAGGATTAATAAACCAATGACTGCTTTGTTGCCTATAATAAAACACAGCTCTCTTCTTAGAATGAGCGGATGCATTATGCACAGCTAGAAAGAAGCAAGCAGAGTTAGGGTTTAAATTAACTGCGATCCGTGTCTGTCTGTCGTGTTCAGATTCCCTGGGATTTAAAACCAACTTGAGATTTTTAGGTGTTGCATTAAAGATCTGGCTGGGTGCTTAGATGTTATTTCTTACTGAATCTGCTCAGACTTTGAACTCATCATAATATTTGTAATTCCCATCCTTATATATTTATACTTCTTTGATCCCATTTTTATGATTCTTTTTATTTTTTTTCACTGAGGTTTTTCTAGGCTATATAACCACCGATGTAAATTTTATTATTGTTAAAGTTGCTTGTTCTAACGCACAATGAAAAAAGCTTAAAATACATTTTTTTTAAAATGCAGGACTTTTTAAATTCCATGTCTAATTGTTCCTTCTGAATTACTCCATCTTGCCTCTGGGATTATACCTGAATTCAGAGTGATGGTACAGGTAGTCCTTGGGTTAAAACTTTTCATTTACCGTCCCTTCGAAGTTAAAACAGCGCTGAAAAAACAGCACTTACGATCATTTTTCACACAACTGTTTCTGTATCTCCATGGTCACATGATCAAAATTCAGTGGCTTGGTAACCGGCTCGTATTTATGATGGTTGCATGTGATCCCTTTTTGTGACCTTTTGATAAGCAAAGTCAATGGGGAAGCCAGATTCACTTAACAACTATGTTACTAACTTAACAAGTGCAGTGATTCGTTTAACTGGTCATAAGTGTGAACTCGTCATAAGTCACGGTTGTAACTTCAAGAGGTGGCTAAATGAACGATTGTAAGTCAAAGGCTCCCTGTACTTTCAGACATGGAAGATTCTGTTAGTTCAGGGCTTTTCAACCTTTTCATCCATTGTACCACTTTTAGGATATGGTAATATCCGAGTACCACCAGTCGCCTAGCAAGTTGTCCAAAACTTGATGACCCCCCCCCCCCAAAAAAGGAAAAAAGTGATAAAGTACAGGTAGTCCTCGACTTATAACAGTTTGCTTAGTGACTGTTCGAAGTTACAATGGCACTGAAAAAAGTGCCCCCCAAGGCACAGCCGAACAAGACACCTGCCTGCCCACCCGGCGGTGCTCTTCCTCCTGTCGGAGGTTTCCATTGTTGTGAGCATTTCTGTTGAGGATTGGCAGCGGGGTTGGGGTGGGGGGTGTTTGGTTTTTATTCCCCCCATCTGCTGGGTGGTTGTAGCAGGTTTTGGTCACTTCACGTGACCCTGGGACACTGTGACCGTCATAAATATGAATCAGTTGCCAAGCATCTGAATGTAAATCAAAAGACCCTGGAGATGCTGCAACATTCCAGCTGATCAGCGCTTCTTCTGGGCTCAGCAGAAGCACCAGGATCAGTGCTGCTTTCCAGCTGATTGGTGCTTCTTCAGGGCTCAGCAGAAGCACCAAGATCAGCGCCGAGCTCCAGCTGGAGCCTGGAGCTGATCCTGGCGCTTCCACTGAACCCTGGCAGCCCTGCAGCCCCAGCCATCTCTCGCTCAGGCTTCTGCGATGCTGCCACCGGTTCAGCTCATTCCCCTCCCCCGCTACCACTTTTCTAGGATGCTCGTGTACCACCTGCCGGGTGCCAATGTACCACAGGTGGTACCCGTACCATTGGTTGAAAAGCCCTGTGTTAGTGTAACCTTGCATTAAAGACAAAGTTAATAATTCTGGTTATGATTCTTGCCTGGATTACCTCTCAGGGTTGGCATATTTCCCTTTTTCGTCCACCCCACTCTCTGTGGCACAGGAAGCTGGTTTTCCACTTGAGAAGGCCATGAATAACCAGGAGCAGCTGATCCTTCAACTGACCAGGTGTCTGCAAAGCAAGGAGGAAGTGCTACAGGTGAGCTGAGCAATAGAGACCCTCCTGGTCTTCCAGGTGATGAAAGGAACGCTTCACCTGTCTCATTTCCTGGGTGAAGGTTATCATAAGGGAAGATGAAGGAACTACAGTAAGAGGGCCGTTTTTGAGCCAAATTCTCATTGGCTCAAGTATTTCCTATTTGTGCTTTGAAAATAAAACATTTGGAATACTTCCGCTGTTTCATTTTTGATCTCCTGAAGAACTGGAAGGATCAGGTCTAAATCTCTGCTTGGTTCTTGATCAGCAGCCTGTTCTTGATCAGTCTTAACCTCTCAAGCTTGTTCTATTCAAGCTGTTTCCATCAAGCTAGAATCAATCACCATAATTTCCACAAAAATAGCACTCTGCATAGTGCAAATTTCAACAAGGCAATCATTTTATCTGCCCTAATCAAGACCTGTATTGCTTGAGTATCCTAGGAAAAATGTCGAACAAGCAAATAACATAGTAATCGATGGACTAAAATGTTATTTGAGATAGATAGATAGATAGATAGATAGATAGATAGATAGATAGATAGATAGATAGATAGATAGATAGATAGAAATAAAATAGCAATCCACCATCCCTTTGCAGTGTGAGATGGAAAGGATATAAAGACTAGACTAGACTAGACTAGACTAGATTAGACTAGATGACTAGAATGGAATGGAATAGAGTAGAGTAGAGTAGAATAGAATAGAATAGAATAGAATAGAATAGAATAGAATAGAATAGAATAGAATAGAATAGAATAGACCTTGGAGGTCTTCTAGTCCAGCCCCCTTGCTCAAGACAAGTGACTGTCCAGTCTCTTAAAAACCTCCACTGATGGAGCGCCCACGATTTCTGGAGGCAAGTTGTTCTACTAGTTAATTGTCCTCACTGTTAGGAATTTTCTCCTTAATTCCAGGTTGCTTCTCTCTTTGGTCAGTTTCCAACCATTGTTTCTTGTCCTGCCCTCTGGTGCTTTGGAGAATAATTTGACTCCTTCTTCTTTGCGGCAGCCTCCCAAATACTGGAACACTGCTATTATGTCACTCCTATTTCTTCTTTTGACTAGCCCAGGGATAGGCAACCTTGGCCCTTTTATGACTTGTGGACTTCATTACCCAGAATTCCTGAACCAGCCATGCTGACTCAGGAATTCTGGGAGTGAAGTCCACGAGTCATAAAAGAGCCAAGGTTGACTACCCCTGGACTAGCCAAACCCAAGTGCTGCAGGAGTTCTTCATATGATTTACTCTCCAGGCCTTGGATCATCTTAGTTGCTCTTCTCTGTACTTTTTCCAAGGTCTCAACATCTTTTTTGTAGTATGGTGACCTAAATTGATTGCAATATTCCAGGTGTGGCCTTACTAGGGTTTTATAAAGCGGTACTAATACTTCACATGATGTTTATACAAGCCAGGATTGTACTAGGTTTTTTGGCTGCTGCTGCACATTGCTGGCTCATAGTCAAGCGATCGTGCACTAGATATTAAATAATATCCCAGATGGTAATAAAAAGGAAAAGATGAAAGTGAGGAAGGAAAGGAAGGAAAGAGGAATTTGGTCCTTTGGGAGAGGAACTCTGATCCTTTTGTCCTATTTTTCTTCTCCAGGACTGCCTGGCCATCCTGTCATCACTCAGATCGCCTGGAGTGAATGCCCCCAAGTTGGAAACCCTGATCAAGCAGATGGCCGAGCATCTGAAAGATAGAGACCAAGCATTAGAGGTAAACCATAATGAGGAAAGGGACATGCATTATCCTCTTTGGGAGCAACCAAAGATCTGGGTTGTTCAGGATGAGAACTTGGGAGCTTGTGTTCCTTGTTGGTTAGATGGACAACCTGTGAGTTCTCCCTTTGTAGCTGAACTACAACTCCCAACAGTTCAGCCAGCAAAGCCAAGGCGAGGGATTCTGGGATTTGTAGTTAAAGAACATCTGGAAGTTTGGATTAGCCCAATACTTCTTCAGATTAGAAGCTTGATAGCAAAGCACCAGAATCTGAGGTTGAAATCCCAAGTTACATGCAGAAGCTTCTCCAATTCAAAGGGTCAGTATTGGATAGCAGAGCCAAGAGTGACACAGATGTTCTCTAATGTGGGGAACGATGCTAGTTCTTGAGATGACATTTAATATTTTCCGAGTATATTTAAATCCAGAAGGATGGTGAGAAGCTGGCTCTCAGAAGAAAGAAGGGTATACAGTGTAATGGCTGAGCAGCAACATTTTGAGGCAGTTTAGCTCGAGTGTCACTCTTCCTGCTGTGACAGAAAAAGAGGCCTTGTTTGAAATTCTGCAAGCATGATAAGCTATCGTTATAGGCCAGAAGTCCCTCATTCCTGACATAAGAAGGTGTAAAATGGTTGCTCAGGCATGAAATTTTGTTTCCCTTCTGACCACTGAGATGGCCTACTTGCATAAGCCTATTGTCAAAGCAAGAACATCCAGTGTTAATCGGAACCATGACACCTACCTTGAAATTTTAATATAACAAAATAATAGTTAATAATAATAATAATAACAACAACAACAACAATAACAACAACAACAACACCATACCGGCTCGGATGTCGCCCGGGTTAACAAGGTCCGCGCTAGATATTGGAGTTCCTGGATATCTGGTGAAAAATGGGTTACAGGACTCAGGACTGTTGGCTGAGCAACCAGGGCCAGCAGCTGCAGAGCTACTGGAAGAAAAGGTGTTTACCCGTCGCAGATACACAGTGATTGAAAACAAAGAAATAATGATCTGTTACTACAGATCAAGTCCAACAAGAAGACCAATGGTAATAGGCAATCCCAAAACAACTGGAGCACCACTTGAACATCATTGGCATTGACAAATTCGCTATTAGTCAATTGCAAAAGGCGGCTTTACTAGGAACTGCTTCCATCCTGCGACGATACCTGTAATACCATCAAACATCCACATCTGCCTATCCCAGGTCCTGGGTAAGGACTCGATAGGTAGATAAAATGCCAAATCCAGTCTGAACATCTGGCTGACTGTGTGATGATCCATAATAAGAGTAGTAATAGTAAAGTTGGAAGGGACCTTGGAGGTCATCTAGTCCAACCCCCTGCTCAGGCAGGAAACCCTATACCATTTCGGACAAATGGCTGTCCAGTCTCTTCTTAAAACTTCCAGTGTTGGAGCATTCACCGCTTCTGGAGGCAGGTTGTTCCACTGGCTAATTGTTCTAACTGTCAGGAAGTTTCTCCTTAGTTCTAGGTTGCTTCTCTCCTTAATTACTTTCCATCCGTTGCTTCTCGTCCTGCCTTCAGGCGCCTTGGAGAATAGCTTGACTCCCTCTTCTTTGTGGCAGCCCCTGAGATATTGGAACCATGCTATCATGTCCCTCCCTTGTCCTTCTCTTCATTAAACTAGACATACCCAATTCCAGCAACCGTTCCTTATATGCTTTAGCCTCCAGTCCCCTCCAGTTGGAAGGGAAGTTGTTTTTGTTGTTCAGGATCTTCATAAGAGACTTGGACATGTAATATGGCTTCTCCTGGGAATCTTCATTTTGCTCCAGGTCTTCCACTATGGGGAGAAAGAGAAGATATTTATACCAGGTTGGCTTGTATGATACATTTCTTCTCCAACTTGAGATCCTTCAGATACTGTTCTGATCCTTGTTTCCTGCTAACTTCATGGATAGCTCCTTGCAATTTTCTTGGCAACATTTTCATAGAAATGAAATGAAAATGTAATGAATAACAGACCTGGAAGGGATCTTGGAGGTCTTTTAGTCCAACCCCTTGCTCAAGCAGGAGACCCTATACCTTTCCAGAAAAGCCTTCAGTGATGGAGCATCCACAACTTCTGAAGGTTGTGTTATAAATTATTGTTATAAATTATTGTAGCTAGGTCTACTTATTTATGTTAGTCCGCAACGTGTAATATAATTGAGACCAATATATCCGTTACTAAGCAAATAGTTGTTATGTGAGTTTTGCCCCATTTTATGACCTTTCTTGCTACAGTTGTTAAGTGAATCACTGCATTTATAAGGTAGAAACATGGTTGTTAATTGAATTGGGCTCCCCCATTGACTTTGCTTGTCAGCAGGTCACAAAAGTTGATCACATGACCCTGGAGACATTGCAACCGTCATAAATATGAACCAGTTGCCAAGCATCTAAATTGGATCACTTGACCCTGGGGATGCTGCAATAGTTGTAAGTGTGAAAAACAGCCATAAGTCACTTTTTTCAGTGCCGTTGTAACTTCGAATGGTCACTAAATGAATGGTTGTAAGTTGAGGACTACCTGTACAGGATTACTACAGTTGTTGAAGCATTGGGAATCAGAAATATCTGAGGATCCTTGGGGTAATAGATCCTGCTTCCAACCTCAAGGAAGACAATATATTTATTGTCAATAAAGTATTCTATCTTCTATCATTTGTCTGTCTGTCTGTCTATCTATATGTCTGTCTGTCTGTCTATCATCTATATCTATCTATCTATCTATCTATCATCTGCCTATCTACCTACCTACCTACCTACCCATCCATCCATCCACTTGCCTGCCTGCCTGCCTGCCTGCCTGCCTGCCTGCCTGCCTGCCTGCCTGCCTGCCTACCTACCTACCTACCTACCTACCTACCTACCTATCTATCTATCTATCTATCTATCTATCTAAAATAACTCCTAATTCTCTTTTTTTGCTTTGATCTCCTCAGAAGCTTCTATCCAACCATTTCTTGGCCCTGGAGTTTGTGCACCGTCAGTTGAGGCACCTTCAAGAAGCACTGAAAGATAAAGATGCTGATCTGGCACGACTCAACACCAGCCTCCGCACTGAAGAGGAGACCATGCATGTATGAATGGGCAGATATGGGGTCAAGTCGGGAAGGATCTGGTAATGCAGACAATGGGGTGGAAGATTGATTGACTTAGTGCAACACAATGGGAAAAGAAATTGTAGCCCTGGCTTCCTTCTTAATTGTTTTTTCTCATGTTTCTAAGTGTGTGAGATTTTGGAAAGAGTGTGACAACTTCAAAGAGTAGGAGTGTGGTGGCTCATGTGATTAGGATGCTGGGCTGTTGATTGGCAGGCTTGAGTTTGAGACCCAGGTGCTGCCCCATGGCGGGTGAGCTCCTGTCACTCGCTCCAACTCCTGTTGACCCAGCAGTTTGAAAGTGGGCAACCGCTAGTAGATAGATGGGTACCACTTTGGTAGGCAACTTAACAGGGACACGAAAAGAATCCCCATCTCGGTGTCTCCTGGGCGATGGTGATGTCCGACATGGAAGTTTAGTATAACTTCAAACAGTGTTTAACAATATTGCCTTTTCCTTCTTTCCAAGTTTCTTGTCACTAGGATCACAGAGAAGCATTGAGTGATGGTTTCATGCCAGATACACTGTATCATACCTTGTTTATTCGCTTATATATTATTTATACATTTATATGTTTTTAGTAACATTTATATGTTTTCTGTTTTCTTTTTTAAAAAGTATGCATTCTTGCTGAATGAGTTGAGTCCTCAACTTACACTGGTTGCTTAGTGACCTTTAAAGTTATAACAGACTTCCCCGGAGGTGCTTACCACCCAGTTCCGAAGTTCCAATGTCCCGCCCCCTCCCTGTGGTCATGTGACCTCATGCCAGGCGCTTAGCAACCAGCCCACATTTACAATCCTTTGCAACAGTCCTGTGTCCACATGATCATATTTATAATGGTTTTGTTGAAAACTAGCATTTAGTTCTGGTTTTCGGCAGAAACAGCTCATGGGAAATGATGGGTTCGCTTTATGACATGATGCTCACTTTACAACCATGATGGTTGCTTAATGACCATGGCGTTCGCTTAACGACAACTGCTAAAATGTTATAAAGTTGGGTCAGTCACGTGGGTGACCTGCTTTACGACTGCCATAGCTTAATAGGCAGACTCCATTAGAGTCATAAGTCAAGGACCAGCCATAATATAGATTTTTCCAAGTTTGGAGGAATAATCCTTGTTGCAAAATCTCTACAGGTAGTCCACAGCCAACGACCACAATTGAGCCCCAAATTTATGTGGTTAAATGAGAAATTTGTTAAGTGAGTTTTGCCCCATTTTATGACTTTTCTTCCACATTTGTTAAGTGAGTCACTGCAGTTGTTAAATTAGTAACAGGGTTGTTAAGTGAATTGCTTGTCAGAAGGTCGCAAAAGATGGCCACATGTCCATGGGACACCGCAACTGTCATAAATGTGATTCAGTTGTCAAGCATCCGAAATGTAAATCACGTGACCATGGGGATGCTACAAGGGTCATAAGTGTGAAAAATGGTCGTAAGTCTCTTTTTTCAGTGCTGTTGTAACTTCAAACGGTCACTAAATGAACTGTTGTAAGTTGAGGATTACCTGTACTGAAAATTGTGACTATCGAGAGGGAGGCTTGGGACAGATGAGAATCTAATAATAGTAATAGTAATAATAGTAATAAAGTTGGAAGGGACCTTGGAGGTCATCGAGTCCAACCCCCTGCTCAGGCAGGAAACCCTATACCATTTCAGACAAATAGCTGTCCAATCTCTTCTTTAAAACTTCCAGTGTTGGAGCATTCACAGCTTCTGGAGGCAGGTTGTTCCACTGGTTAATTGTTCTGACTGTCAGGAAGTTTCTCCTTAGTTCTAGGTTGCTTCTCTCCTTGATTAGTTTCCACCTGTTGCTTCTTGTCCTGCCTTCAGGTGCATTGGAGAATAGCTTGACTCCCTCTTCTTTGTGGCAGCCCCTGAGATATTGGAATACTGCTATCATGTCCCCCCTCGTCCTTCTCTTCATTAAGCTAGACATACCCAATTCCAGCAACCGTTCCTTATATCTGCAGCTGTAGGTAGTCTCTTTTTATTGACCGTCTGTGATCCTTCTTCTCCTTCCCTTCCCCCAATGTCCTAGGCTCTGCGGGAGCTTTTGAACCAGAAGGACCGGGAAATCCGTCGTCTGGAATCTCTCTCTGCCTCAACTCAGGACTTCTGGCAACTGCAGGACCAAAGCTTGCTCTTCGCTTTGAAGGAGAAAGAAACCTTAATTAAAGCCCTCCAGGAAGCCTTGACCAGTAGCACCAAGGATGTGGAGGTAGCTCTTCCTCTGCCAAATTCAGATTTTAGCTATTGATATGTTGTATGGGTAGTCGTTGACTTACAGCACTTTGTTTAGTTACAACGGCTCTGAAAAAATGGACATGACCATTTCTCACACTTAGGACGATTTGCACCACCCCCTGTGGTCACGTGATCAGAATTCAGAGGCTTGGCATCCAACTCATGTTTATGACGGGTTGCAGCATCCCGGAGTCATTGTGATCACCTTTTGTGACCTCCTGACAAGCAAAGGCCATGGGGAAGCCACATTCACTTAACAACCGTGTGACTAACGTAACAGTTGTAGTGATTTGAGCCGAGGTGGCTCAGCAGTTAGAGTGTAGTACTGCAAGCCACTTTAGCTGACTGTGTTCAGCAGGTCACCGGTTCAAATCTCACCGGCTCAAGGTTGACTCAGCCTTCCATCCTTCCGAGGTAGGTAAAATGAGGACCCAGATTGTTGGGAGCAATGTAAATATATATATATATATACATTGCTTACTGGTGTACACCGCTTACAGAGTGCTTGCACTTAAAGCGGTATATAAGTCTCATAAATAAATAAATAAATAAATAAATTTGCTTAACTGCTGTGGCCATAAAATGGGGCAAAGCTCTCTTAACAACGGTCTCAGCAGCAAATTTGGAGCTCAGTTGTGGTAATAAGTCAAGGTCTACCTGTATTTGTATCCCACCTTTCATTCAGGAACTTGAGGCACCCTAATAGTGCTCTTTTTCTTACTTTTCTACACAACTATAGTCTTCTGAGGTAGGTAGGGTGGAAAGAGGGTTCCATGCAGCTTCCATGGTTGAAGAATGATTGGAACCCGGGTCTCTCTTCGGCTGGCCCAGAATCTTTCCTTCTACCCCCTCCGGGTGTTGGGCTGAAAGAGAGGGTCTGGCCCAGAGTACTCCAGGGAAATTACATGGCTGAGGGAAATTAAGGTTATAAAAATAATATAAGCTAAAAAAAATGCTATACATAGAGATTATTATTTGTACAAATATAAAAAAGTGTTTATATTTAACCATTTATTTACTGAAAATATTAAGAATTACACTTTGCTTAAGGTTGAAGGAGAATATAAATGGGAGAAGGGAAGATCAAAGAAATATATTATTAAATATACTAACTATGGAATTATCAAACTTAATCATTACTGATTGTTAATTGATTGTTTTTTTTTCTTTTATTAAAACATAAACCAAAACAACACGCTGTACACTAGGCACTGGAGATTGTTACGTATGAAAAAAAAAAAGAAAAAGAAACTACATGGCTGAGCGATAGTTAGGACCTGGGCCTCCTTGCTTCTAATCTGGCACCTCCAGTACCCTACCTGCACATTCAGATATTTTTAGATGCACCCTGTTTCCCCCAAACTAAGACCTAATTGTAAAATAAGCCCTAGCATGATTTTTCAGGATGCTCATAATTTAAACCCTATCCCAAAAATAAGCCCCAATTAAGATTGTCAGCCAGATGGATGCATTTAGTATCGTATTTCTCTGAAAGTAAGACCTAACAAAATAAACCCTGATGCGTCTTTTGGAGCAAAATTTAATATAAGACCCAGTCTTGTTTGGGGGAAAATACGGGTAGCATGCATGGAACCTGGCTCTTTCCAGATTGAACAACTGTGATATATCTCCTCCTGCCTCTGTCTCGGCTCTAGGCCCTTGCAAAGTCCCTCAGCAGCTCCAACTTGGCTCCAGCGTTGCTCCAGCAGATCCAGGAGAAGGAAGATTTGCTGGCCCAGTCCTTGGCTGCACAGACACGGGTCCAGGCCGAGTGGCAAAGGCAACTGCAGGTGGTAGAAGATGCAGCCATTGCCCGAGAACACAAACTACAGGTAATGATAGGTACGACTGGGGGCATCGCGTGGTTAGGGAACCCTAAAAAGACTTGGCCTTTCTCTTCAGTCTTCTCTTCAGTCTTGTCACTGCAAAAAGTGACTTATGACCATTTTTCACACTAATGACCATTGCAGTAATCCCATGATCTTGTGATCAAAATTCAAAGGCTTGGCAACTGGTTCTTATTTATGACAGTTGCAAGTGTCAAGGGGCCATGTGATCTCCTTTTGCGACCTTCTGACAAGCAAAGTCAGTGGGGAAGCCGGATTCACTTAACAATTGTGTTATTAATTTAATAACGGCAGTGATTCACTTAACTAACGTAGCAAGAAAAGTCATCAAAATGGAGCAAAACTCACTTCACACATTTCTCACTTAGCAATGTAAATTTTGGGCCCAATTGTGGTCGTAAGTTGAGGACTGTCTGTTGCATGTGTTAACGTACAATTCCTCCTTCCCCCGTCTAATCATCATCATCATCATCATCATCATCACCATAAAAAGTTGGAAGGGACCTTGGAGGTCATCTAGTCCAACCCCCTGCTCAGGCAGGAAACCCTATACCATTTCAGACAAATGGCTGTCCAGTCT